AATTACTTTTTAAAAAAAACCCACGCTTTTCCAAAAATGTACTAAAAAGTATAAACACAAGGTCCCCCAAAACTTCAGAGATTTTACATTCAAATGACTCAAATAATGGGTGCGGCGCCCATGAAATACAATGATGTCATATGACCTTTTCTTAGGTTGCTCTGTCGGTGTGTCAGTTTGTTTGTGGTCAAACCCTGCATCTCAATTTTGACCCATTTCCTGATCTGCAATTGCCAATTTAGCCAAAACAAAATTAAATAAAATTGAGTTCTATAATTTGGAAATGTTTTTTTTTTAAATTATTTTTTTTTTATATTGTTGAATTGTACAAATAAAATTCTCATATCTCCCTTTGTTAAAAAGTTACGAGTGTTCAAAGGTCAGCAGAGATTCTAAAGCTCATAGTAACGGTATGCGCGACAACATACTAAGTTTACTAGACTACCAAGTTGATGAAACAACCGAACAGACTAAATGAAGAAAGTAATAGTGGTATTCTTTTTATTGAATAAATATCCGAAACACACTATACAAAATCAATACAGACACATCGGTATATGATTAAACCGTGAACACCGTGACGTCCAGTGAACTTAACGACTCCATATAATCTATAAACTTGTCTGCTTCGTTTGGTACCCGGGTACATGGGTCAACGGGTACCAAGTCAGGGCTGGTTTTGTGTGGGTTTTTTTCTCACGATTTTCGACAGCCCCAGTCAAAACGCTCTACACTTTTCCAGAATTCGATGGGTGTGGGTGGAAAGCAGGAAGGTCTGACAAAGGGGAGAAAGGTTAACACTCGGGGAGCAAGGGGCGTGGTATGATGACGGTGAAACAGAGTGGTTCCTCCCCCCCCCTCGCAGTTATCGGAACATGTTTGGTGGGGCGCTTGTTTATTATCGCACCCACGGGAAGGAAATCTCGTTTATCAGGTACGGCCATATTTAACATGGGCTAGGCCGTGAAATACTTCACTTGGAGCTGTTAACCACAAAATATGATGTCAATGAAAATGCTCAAATTACGAACGCGTCGCAGGTGTACGCTCGGTGCATTTCGGTCTCGTTGACTTCACGTTTTGATTTTAATTGATTTATGTATATATGTTTAGCGTGTTGGGCTGGTGCGCATACAATAAAGCACACTGTTGTATTTGTCACGTGAAACGATAAAGTATTTATTTAAAAAAAAAGCAATTACAGTTACAAATTATTGCTCCCGAATTAACAGCTCGCCTTACCATAAGGCGAACCTGCCTAATCCATAAATGACGTCATGCTATTTTGCCCCCCCCCCTTTTTTCAAATCACACAATTTAGACAGACACACTCATTTAATTCGCGTCTAAACTCAGTAAGAGACGAATTTTAACATTTCTTAAAAAGGGTTTGGGGGGGGGGGTGCAGAATGTTCAGAATGGCACGAAGCTAGCATTAATGAAAAATCAACCGCGTTTATAAAACTAATTTACGAGTTAAAGTTGTGTCGTTTCTTAACAGAGACGGGGAGAACTAGCCAACATTTTAATCAAAATCTTCAAACACTTAAATTTTTAGAAAATTTTACTTTAATTTCTATTTCTTATTTCTATTTTTGTCTTGTCTGTTGAAGAAGGCGTTTAGTCGAGACCCCTTTTAATTGTTCTGTCTTTTTTTTCCGTCCGCAAACATATTTTGTTCCATTATGTATTTAATTTACACGTGGGCTTTTAAACCCAGTTCCTCATATATTATTCTAAAACTTTTTAACCATCACATTAGATGCTCCATTTTAATAAAAATAAATTACATTATTATAAGGAACAAAATATATTTTAAACATTTCTTCTTTTACTCTATTAAAAATCATTTTCGAATATCTCGGGGTCGTTGGTCACTTTCCCCTATAAAGTGATGTCGGGACTAAGGTTGAAAACCTTGTGCTTGTTTGCCAGATTGGCTTAAGACCAGATTCCTCATATTTGGCTTTTTTTTTTTTCAAGTCGTTTGGCATGAAAAGTTTGGTTTGGCCTTCTCCTGGCTTTTTTCTTTATTTTTTTCACCTGAAAATCTCCACTTTAAATTTAAGTCATATCCTTTTCCAAACGATAAATTTCCCCTATAAAGTGATGTCGGGACTAAGGTTGAAAACCTTGTGCTTGTTTGCCAGATTGGCTTAAGACCAGATTCCTCATATTTGGCTTTTTTTTTTTTTTTCAAGTCGTTTGGCATGAAAAGTTTGGTTTGGCCTTCTCCTGGCTTTTTTCTTTATTTTTTTCACATGAAAATATCCACTTTAAATTTAAGTCATATCCATTTCCCAACGAGAAATGGCGAACAAGGCGAACACTTGTTTGTTAGACTTTTTCAACATTGTCAAAATATAACAATGGAGCTCACTCAAAGTTAACCCATTTACATGTCTGGTCGCTTCTTTTAGTGTCACGCAGATCAAAGGGAGGGGGTTGATTTTAAAAATAAAAGGAAAAGAAATGGCGCTATTGGCGGGTTTTTATGGCATAAAGATAAGATGTCTTGTTGTAACCCTACTTTTGAGCTCCTTGTCTAAGTAGTAACATTTGCAACAATGCGGACTTGAAACAACAAGGGTCTTATCCCAGTGTATCCTATCCCACTTTCATCATAAGCTGATTTAATTTATTTAACTGAATTATTAAATTCAACGTTCTCCACCCTGTTCATTTATTTCAAAGATTTAATCACCTTATAAATATATGAATGTATATATATATATATATATATATATATATGAATATATATAATTATATATAAGTATGTGTGTTTAAATATGCATTAGAGCGTCGATTTTCTAAACTTATTTAGAAATGAGGGAGTTTCGGACAACCGGTTGTTGGCACTCACAAAATTTGGTCCCCCCCCCCCCCCACGCACCACCTTATTATTATTATTTTTTCTGGTTTGTTTTGGTCTTTTTCAGAATTTTGATATGGCAACCCTAAACCTGATTACGGTGTTTAGAAAACGAAGCAGCGCCACCTGAATTTAAGAATTTTTTTTTTTTTTTAAATCGAGAGCGCATTTCCTGTTAGCGGTCTCAAAGCTCAGCGGTTCTGATTTAGTTGGCATTGCAGTCTCCGAGCTCGGCCGTTCTGATTTTCCGCCATCACTTTGACCTCCGAGTTGGGGGATATTTCCTTGTATTCTTTAATTTAATGCACACTCCTTAATACTCTTTAACAAAATGTAAATACGGTCAACGTAGGCGAGTTCCTGGTGCTATTTTCTACTTCCATTCTTTTACTATTTTAACTTTTAGATTCCATTTTCAGTCGTTTTAATTTCTATTCAGTGAAACTTGCTTCTATTTCTTATTTGTGATGAAACATAATGAGCCATTGGTCTATTTCATAAAAGTAAAATTAAGATAAAGAATTCAATTCCCCATTGCCATATAGTGTCACAAATTCTCGACCCCCCGGCCCCCTGAGCGTGACGTAGTTAGCGAACGATCCCTTAAAAGCCTACACGAATTCTCGTGATTTTAAATGCTATCTGAATGGTGGGGGAAAAAAAAGATTTAAAAAAAAAAAATCATGAACACTAAGCATTGTGTGTGTGTGTTTGTGTGTGTGTGCGAGTGTGTGTGGTGGTGGTTGGTTTGCTTTTGGTTGACCGTTATGTTTTTATTATATATTCCTAACGCCACCCTGCAAAAAATACGAAATCTTGACATTGCGGATATTTTGAAGAGTATGTGACAACATAAATCTTAGTTTGAGGAGATTGCAATTTTAAGATGTATTTTTAAATAGCCCATTGCGTAATAAAATTCAAAGTGTAATGACAAGACGTCAAAGAAATGCAGGCATGCTATCACTACGACGTAATAAGATTGATTTCACGAGCTAAAGAATTACGAATTTACATTTGGAAGCAGCGGCTCTCGTATTTTTGTAAATAAAACATCACCAGTATATTAAAATATCAATCGCTATGTCGCCACAAGAAATTACAGTCAGCATATCCGTTTTTATATTTCTAGACAGTGAAATTGTTCAGTTTGAGTATTTATTTATAGTTAAAATAAGTATTAGAACCGGAATGGGGATTGTTAAATCGAGACCCGCGGGTCTAAAGCATATTTTCTGGGTTGATAAGTCAACGGGGTTGGGGGGGGGGGTGGGGGCATTCCAGTCAGGTCAAAATTAAATTCACTTCGAGGTGTACTGGAAAAATTCGTGTTCTGAGATTTTAAATTTGGGGTTAAGACATTGGTGGATACATGGGAACCTTAGTTACTACATGGGAAATAATGATTGGTGAGGTGGCGATACCAAATAAACACCCATTGAGTTTGGATGTTTTCATTTAATATAACACAACTGATTATAAATCCGATAAGTGTGAACTCTAGATTCGGGATGTGGGTGAAACTGTAGCAATTAACTGTTTTAAAAAAAGGTTGGTACCCACTTACGTACCCCTTGTATTTCTCTAATATGATTTTTTCAACATTATCTAGACTTAGATTTTATAAGAAATTTCGGTTGATGCATTCCATCCTCTTCATCACAGATACCTAAGGTCAGCTCTCCCAGGGCGAATTTTTACTTGAAAGTAAGGAACGAAAGATGTAAAAATTAGTTCCCCCTGCTCCGCCTGCTGTTGAAAACAATAAATCTTAATAATCACTCATAAAGTCAACATTGCCACTTATAGAGTGAAAATCCATGGTATATGACGGTTAAAACATGGTTGTCTTTGTAAGAATATTTATGTATGTGCTGAAAATGAATATTTACTTTCTAAAAACAAAAATGCCAATTTATTTGGATCAGTAAAAGAATACATACATGCATATAGTCTATATATGCCAGAGATGTCTAAAAATATTTTAAAAAGAAAATGTTAGAAAATCATGTTTTAAATAATTTCCTTTATTTTTAGTAGTGGCGGCCCCTTATTCTTATATTGAGGGATGGCCATTTTTGGCCACCTGGAAACGTTTTCCGTGAAAGGGGGGCGGCAAGAAGCTTGACCCACCCCAGGCGGCACTAACCCTGGCTACTCCATTGATTTTTAGTCACGTTGAGTAGGCCTGCTCTTAATTTGTTTTCAATTTTTGGGGTTTTCATTTTGCACAGCTTACGATTACCAATGTGCCAATACCTCGAATGATTAAACATTAATAATTGACACAAATGATCCTTCAAAAATTCTTCCCTAAGCTCACACACGACATTTTATTAATGTTACTTTCATAGTAAAGCAATAATTCCTAATTTAAAATGACAAAATGTTCACATTTAAATCAATTTCGGATTTTTGTCTGGTTGAACTCGTGTCTCGGTTGATAGTGAGATCTTGTTTTGTTCACTACTTACTACTTACTATAATAGATAATTAATGTTTTTTTGAGTATGAAACGTTCGTATTACCATTAATAATTTAGTTAAAAGCCATGCCACTGCCTTCTGCTCTCCTTGCTCGTTTAGCTAAGCGTGGAATATTAGAAGCTAAAAATGACTTAAAAAATAAAGGAGGCTTGTCCAAGTCAGGTTAGTGAAGAAGATATTATTTAACTTAATCATAATCAGATAATTAATCATGACCATGACTTGTGAATGATGGCGATGGTCAACAATCGTTGATTTAGACAAAAACATTACGGTTCATTACCAAATTACTCTGTGAATAGGCCTAATATTGAATAACTTATTAGGCTAAGCATAATTACTAATTACATAATCTTCAATAATCATTTTTTTTTCATTGACTTAAGTGTCTTAAGTGACCTTACAGCCTTAGACTTAGACTCCAGTAATTTTCAGTAATTAGTAATTGATTATTGAAATTGTCTTAAGTCTAGTATTAGTAGTATAGTATAATTTAATTATTAGGCTATTATTAGTAATAATTAAAATATTATTATTAAAAGGATCAGAAAATTCTAGAATAATAATATTTACCAATACTACCAGGTATGTCTAATTTCTAACACTAACAGATATTAAATAGGCCTTTTTGTTTGACTTGTTGAGAAATCCTCCTCTCACATCCACCAAATTTAGATTTATTTTGATTTTTTGGAAAATGGGATCATATTATTATATTTTCAGAGGAAGTTGAAGAAGTTTTTGCAGAAGATTATGATGATCCGTCAAAGCCTGAGTCTACTGCCCCCATACAGCAAGTTATTCAACCACAACCAGCTGTGGGCTTACAGGTTCCTCAAGTTGCCATTGATGTAGTGGGTGATGGGCCAATTTTTTATGAAACTACAGCATGTCCAAATAGGTAAATATACTGATACTAGTTGAAAATCTATGCACCTTTGTCTCCCCCTAACTAGTATATTATTTAAATCACGAGATGATGCTAGGTGGTTTTTTTTGGCCAGTCCCTCATTTTCAAGCACTAATTCCTCCCTTATCTCTTACTAAATGATTGATGTTAAACATCGACATACACAATTATCATCATAATGCAATGCATGATTTTAAATGTATCATTAGTTTTTAAAGTACGGTACCTTTAGTTTACTGTCACGATTTAATTGCAAATACTCCACATTGGTAATACTTTCTTTGGTTTATAATTAGCCATTGTAGTTGTAGGTATTTCATACATTGGTGTCGGAAAGGGTGAGTGGAGGGGGAGGTACGCCATGGGCAGCACTTTTTTCTTTATATTATATGGAGGGGTGATGTTTTGGTCCCATAGTTTTTTTCCATGGAAGTGGTGGCAAAAATTTGATCCACATTGGCTACGCCACTGATTTCTTTGGCTCAGTTTGGGTTGGTATCAAAGGGTGAGGACATGCCTTATGATCTGCCAACCATTCCACAAGTGTCATTACTTCTTTTTATTTAAAAATTTGATTTTGAATGTGAGCTTTGCAAAGGAGTTCAGTAGTTTTAGTTATAAACTATAATTTTTAAAAAAAATTTTGATGATTACAAAAAACCCATAGTTTTTTTATAGAAATGTCAGTTTTTAGTTTTTTTAACGACAGCTTTTATTTGTATGCAAAGTACCACTATCAGCTTCTGTACGCAACTTAAAGTGGATGCAATTTTGTAATATTGTATATTCATTTGAAGGGAAGGGTGAGGCAGGATGTTTTCACAAAATTTGACAAAATTATCTAATATTAATATATTTCAAAATTACATAGGAGCAATCCATACCATGAATGTGTAGCCTACTGCAAGAATCGTTATGGAATGCGTGAATGGGACCCAGACATAGATATGTTAAAACGAAAGGACAGAATGTTAAGAAAGTATCCCCTTCCTGAGGGTTGGGTGCAGGTTGGAGACTATGACACGTGAGTGTATATTTATGGCTAACACATGTATATATATTTATACATTTTCAGTTTAATATTTTCTAGTATTTTGTAGTTCAACAAAAGAGTTGGAACATCTTAAAAGCTAGAATAAAACAATAAATATAAATGATGAGACTCAACTAACGCAAAAGTCAACACAAATTTTGTGTATGTTGAACTTGTTTCATTTGAAAAATGTGAGAGTTCATAAATTACTTGTAACTATAAGTTTAAAATTTGTTTCAGTGGCCGATACTATTATTGGAATATTAACACAGATGAAGTAACTTGGTTATCGCCTTTGCATCCAAACGCTATTATCTCAAGATCAGCTGAAAATTTAGGTTGGTAATTTTTCTTTATTAGAATGTTTACACTTTGGTTATGATAGTACTAAATTTATTGGCAGGGTTGTCGCCATAGGCGATATTTACTCTCATTTGATTTAACAATAGTGTTTTATGATTTTATACATAGTGTGGCGAATTTTAATTAATTTAATTAATTTTAAAAACTGTGGCTGTTTTGGAAAATGGTTTTCCACCTTAATTGAGTGTAATTATGATTTTATTTCTTTCAGGTCTTGTTGGCAAAATAGGTAATTTAGATAGTCCATGGGAAGAAAGTGTCGATGCTGCAACTCTTGCAGCTTTCAACAGTGAGGTAAGAGAGTGTTTCTCAAAGTGAAAACTTTGTTGGGATTTAATTTTATGCATACAAAAATACATTTATCATGTCTGTTGTAATCTTGTATAAGTACTACTTCAACAACTATTACCTTGCTGATAAGATTTTCAGCAATTCTAATGTCATATTCAGTTCAATGGTGACAGATCTCATATTTCTTGCAAATAGCTGTAATTGATTACTTAGTTTTAAAATAAATATCAATGTCAACATTCAGAATAAATATACGTCAGATTTAACATTGAAAAAATGCCTTGATGTTAAAGATATATTTTCTCTTTAGGCTTCTCTTTAAAAAAAAAAGCTTTTAAAATACATTTTTAAAAAGTTGTAACTGTAGTATTGACTGAAACTGTGAACAGTAAGTTATATAAAATAGAAAAAAGTTTATGGATTTATAGATGCATATCTTCTTGTTTTTTGTGTGTTTTTTTTGGTTTGTTACAAAATTGTATCATGAATAATTTCAGAGCGGCAGTGATACTTCTTTATCTGATGAAGAAGAGATTGTAGAAAAGCAAAGAAAACCTTTCAAGCGAGGAAGACAAGGTAAAATAACTTTAGATGCAATTTAATACTAGGTCATTAACCTATTAAATTATGTTTGTTTCAAAATTAAAAAATAATGCTCTATTTCTGATCAATTTTTGTTTATTTACCATATCTTTTTAAAATTTATTAATCTAAAGCTAAATGATCCTTTCTCGATCATTTTAATTCCTTGAACAAAAATTAATAAATTTTCCAGGAAAAAAATAAAAAATTGAAATTTAATTTTAAATAAAATACGGTAACTCAAAATGTGTGTGAATTACCGGTATTAAGAAATTATTAAGTAGCACATTTATTTTCATATTTTTAGATATCAACCCTTCTAAAGAATTAACTATTTTAACGTCTGTATGAATGATACATAACCTCATACAGCTTTAAATAATTTGTAATAAAAAATGAATATAAATATATATATATATATATGTATATATATATATATATATGTATGTATATATATATATATATATATATATATATATATATATATATATATATATATATATATATATATATATATATATATATATATATATATATATATATATATATATATATATATATATATATATATATATATATATATATATATATATATATATATATATGAATCCAGTTTTGGGATAAATTAGGCTACATAAAACAAAAATAGTTTTCCTGGTTTTCTTAACAGGCCAGACGAAAAAAGATGACTTGGATCCCATGGATCCTGCTGCATACTCAGATATTCCACGGTGAGGAGAATGACATGTTTAAGAGTTGCTAAAATAAAAGAGCTATTTTATTTATAGAAAATTTTTTTCCTGGACATGTTCAATCGCAAACTATCAAGTATTAAGGGAGACAAGAAAACTTTTATGAAAACAATAAATACATTTGGATGCACTATTGTTATTCATATTCCATAGTCTCTTACAGCGTTTAAAAAGTATTCCTTAAAATGAATTGTATTTGATATTTCAATTTCCCAGAGGTGGTTGGAGTGAAGGATTAGACCAGCGAGGAAAGGCCAAAACAGGGGTTGACAGTACAGCATCTGGCCCTTTGTTCCAGCAGAGACCATATCCTAGTCCAGGAGAGATCCTGAGAGCCAATCAAGGGTTAAAGAAGAAGAAATAAAAGCATTTTTCTATTGTCCTGAATTGATTTCATTAATTATTTTGTGGTTATTTTTAACTCATTAAAATATATTTCATACTCTGATGGCCTTCTATTGGTTTTCACAATAATTTATTGTCTTTAACTATTATTAACCCTGTAACTGTCGTTATGGCCGATCATCTGCCATTATACCCGTCTGTGGCGTCACAGCTGGTATAATCGGCAGCTGGCAAAATTGTCATTAAAAATACGAATGATTTAATGTTTATTGGTTAAGGGGAAATCACACCATATAAATGAGTTTGCTTACTATTTCCACTTCTGTGTTAACTAGAGACCGACTGAATTTCGGCTTTGGCGCCGAAAGTGGCCATTTTATCACTTTCGGCCAAGTTTCGGTTTTGGCCGAAAATGAAAAGTTAACTTTCGGCTTAATTTCAGTTTCGGCCGAAAGAGAAAAGTTAACTTTTGTTGTTTTTTTTTGGTTTCGGACGAAATTGACTTAGGCTTTCGGCTGTGCGAAAAACTATTTTCTTACTTCATTCTAAATTTACAGATGACAAGTCAACTTCTGGTTTCTTGGTATCACAGATAAACATTTAGTTTTCCAGCACCGCTACCACAATGGTATAAAACAAAATATTGTATCTGAACATACCTACAATCACTCTGGTGTGTAGCAGACTGAGAGCACACACTCAGGTATAGAGTTATCCTAAGCTTGAAGTAATGCAGGACGATAAAAAAATTATGGCGCTGAATATCAACATGATGCACACAAGCTCCGAAATCACTCGAGTAACTTAAATGTTGAGAACAGTCACTTTGGGCCAAGCCCTTGACCAGTAATAATATCATCTGAGTTTATAAACCACGATTTGTTTACAGTTTGATGGACTATAAATGTCATAATCGAAGAAATATTCCTCATCACAAACACAGGTAAACAAACATACATCTTCACTGGGCATGCGCAAAGCCCCCTTCGTAAGAGTAAGATGTTAGCCCTTAGCTTAGTCTTATTGTTACAAATTCATTTGGAAAAGGGTAGAAATCGATTAGAAAAGATGTAAGTTAAATCCCAAAGATCAGCTCTAAAGAGATTCAAAGACATTTATGGTAGTGTTCTGGAGTATTAATTAATAAAAATGGATTTAATAATAATAATAACTTCAACTAAATAGGAATTTTTGAACTCATTTTGTGTTTTCCCCCCTTGTATTTTGTATGACAGAAATTTTAAGGTTGAGAATGATAAAAATTCATCAATGTTACAAATTTCAATTTAAGAACCTAAAACTTTATAATTTCTGAAAGAATATTGCTTCTAGTACAGTGAAATGGGGTGACGTTGCCTACTTTTGGCCTTCAAGCATAAATTTCAACATGTTAACTGATCTAAAAACTAACAAAAAGATGCTAATGTACAGTATGGGTACCTGCACTTCGTTGTTATAGCTGAATTAAGTCATAGTTTGATCAGGTTAAGTTGATAATTAAGGTTTTTTGAGATTTTTTAACCTGAGGAAAAATGGCGTAAAACTTGATTTTAATTTTATGATACCGTAGTTAGAAAATGTTTTGTATTAGGTTGGGTTGAATGATTAAGTAAAATTTTACTCTGTAAAGGTCAAGGCATACCAAAATACACACTAAAAGATAAAAACAAAATCTGTTCATACCAAAAGATACCTTGTCAAACGTACTTTCAGAAAATTAATTGTAAGGGTCTCTAAACTCATTAAATATTTTGTCATATTTGACAAGCATGTGAAAATTCTAAAAATGGCTGGACACTGTATAAAAAATTCACTTTTAGGTTTAACTTAAAACCCTGAATTTGCATTATTTCATATTTTACATTTCTATAATGCTAAGAAGAATGACTGCATACATTTTGCCTAGTACAAGATGCCTGAAAAATAGTACATTTAACATAAAAAGTTGACATTTTAAATTTTGAACAAGTATATTTTAGTTTTATCTCTTTTAGGTCAATTATTACTGTGAAAAATATAAATAGTATTTCCTTGTTTAAAAAAAAGATATTCTTCAGCCTTTATGGGTTCTTAGTGTGGTAATTGACATTGTACAGCAGGCCCGCACCACTCAAAATGTAAGGTGGACCTTAATACTTAATGAAAAACTTGTACGGGCCAAAAAGAAAATAGGACAGGACTTGTGCGGACCAAAAGAAAATAGAACATGGGGGAAAGGTATTAAGATAATAAGAATAAAGAATATTTCGTTACTTCACGGGCCGCAAAATGGGTGCTGGCAAGCCTTATGTTGTGCAGGCCTGTTGTATAGTATTCAAATTTACATAACTACTTTATTTGAAATCTTGCGACTCTTTGCATCATAACCAGGCCTGCCAAAAAGTAATCCATTTTGCTGTATATTAAATAAAATTATATCTCTTAAGGTTGCATGTTGTTAAAAACTATAATGAGAAGCAGATTCGGGTGTGAGGAGTTGCCAAAAATCAAAACAAGTCACAAATGTCTATGTTTGACACATTTTCACAAAATAATACATTAAATGCAGACTTAGTAGGATTTATAGGATAAAGTATTTAATGAATTAATACATTTTATTTATCCTTGTAAATATCCCACAATGCTATGTGTCCATCTTTTGAGCCTGTTGCCAGGGTTTTATCAGGAGCAAACATTACACATTGAACACTTTCGTGATGATATCCCAAAACAGCAAGGGCTCTGAGCTTCTTAACCGTAAAGACTCTAGCGAAATGGTCCCAACCCCCAGTCGCTGCTATTCTGCCATCTTCTCTCACAGCTATATCACAGAGTCCTGGATTAGAAATAAACACAGTGTTTTCCTGGACCAGTTGATAATCTTTCACCTGCCAAGACCTGAGTTGATTGTCTACAGAACCAGTTATACATCTGAATAAACCAGTCTCCTGGCTGACCCAGCAATCCATGCACATTATACTCTCACTGTGTGCGGCTACCTTGCTGAGAAGTTCATCTGTTACAAGGTTCCACAAAGCAAGTGTGCCACTCTCGTATGCAACCAAGAGGCTAGGCAACTGTGCTGTCTGCACAGCACTTCTGGTCCGCATACACATTCCAAAAACTTTGGCTTGACTTGGCTGGATTTTATGTGGTGATGACTGTGATGTTATTTCTGTTACACTGGATAGGTTTGGGAGGTGGTAAACAATAAGCTGAGCAGTGGGATTACCAGGAGCAGTCAAGATATGTTGATTGTTGTATAGACACATTGACATGTTGCAGAATGTGAGGGCTGCACAGGTAACTTCACCTAGGGCAAAGTAATTAGATATTTTAAGTTTCTGATGGGATATCTTACTGCTATAATATATTATTCATAATTTTAAAAATAAGGCTATTTATTTCATTTTAATGTTAATGTTTATAAATCATGGGTTCGCAACCAGAGTTGCCTGCCTGGGTGTGTGGGGAGGCAGCATCATTGGGTGCTGGGAGACCGAGAAAGAAGGTTTATTAAAAATTGTATTCACATTCTTTTTATAATGCTAGAAAAAGTTTTGAAATTTAAAAAAATGGGGTTGTGGGTAAAATGTTGGTATCAAGAAGGGGAGTGAAGCAAAAATGTTGAAAACCCTAGTATCATCAATTAAATCTTATGAAGCTTACCTATACGGGTCCATTCTGAATCAGACCTTATCCAAAATCTAATAAATCCATCTCTTCCCTGGCTAATCAATTTATTTGAGACCCATGACAGCCAAATGACAGAATCTGAGTGTGCAATGTTTGAAGATGTTGGCCTTTGAGTCACCAAGTTCCAATAAATAACCTTATTTTTGAGAAATGAAAATGTTTAAATCACATATAAAATTAATGTAAAAAATGTAATAGAGGTGTAGTTTATGAAATCCCTTTAAATAATAAAACTCTACCTTTAATAATATGTAATTTTCAATCTGGGTTACTGCATTATTAAAAAATAAAAAAAGTAAATTGTAAGCAATAATAAATAGCTGAAATAGATAAAAATGATTTATTACTAACCTTTCCATCCTGATGTCCTGAGAAAAGCTGTCCTTTATCTTCTGGTGTCTCTGATGTTGAAAATGCCAGACTGGTTACAGGACTAGTAGTAGACAGTTCCACACATGGTTCTGGTGGAGCTGCTCTTCCCTTGCTCATCCTTGCAGACATTTTGACTAAATTACAAAAAAAAAACCAACAAAAAAAACAACAAAACATGTGACTGCTGGGGGATTTTGTGTCAGGGATGATTGAAATATAAATATAATAATAATGGCAAGTCTAAAAGACAGTCTTACACCCTACCTATGGGCATTTAAACAATAGTGTTATAGATAGTCCTACACCCTACCTGTACCTGCATGCATTGAAACAATAGTTCTACAGACAGTACTACACCATGACCATACCCATGGCTTTTTATTGATTAATATAATAGTGCATCAAAAAAATTCAATATTTTTACCTGAGTTCAACTGTCATGCATGCCATTTGCTGCTTGACAGCTTCCCCCCCCCCCCCCCATTACTATTAATATAAAAATGTTGAGTAGGGGGATGTCTGGTTGTGAAAAGGAAGCAGAACACACCAGAAGCAAAATATATATAAGAGATTGTTACAGCCAAATCATTACTTCAGGGATGCAAAAAAAAGTTAATTAATTTCAACGCAAATACAAAGTGGTAAATACTAGTGCTGTCATGTCAATTAAGGAATCACTAGTTGCATATTAATAATACTATAATTATAAATAATATACTAGAAATAACCCTTGAAAAACCATGGCGGGTCCATGGAAGCACTGTCACAAATGACAGGGCTTTACGAGGGAACGGTAGTGGTAGGTACAGGACAAAGATACAAGGAAGAAGTTGGCTTCGGTACTGGTGGTTTATATATACATATATATATTATGTTAATGCAGGGAAGACATAGGCGATATAGCCTAGGAAACAAGCCGATCAAGGGTACATCGGGGAGCACTAAGGCAGGGACAGTGTGAGGAAACAAGCCGATCAAGGGTACATCGGGGAGCACTAAGGCAGGGACAGTGTGGGGAAAAGGTATCACGAATGAGTTTGATACTCCTACCTACTTTCGCTAGGGAGCCTTCGATGGCCTTCCTTTCAAATCCCCCCCCCCCCCAACTGTGCTCTGAATCACTTTCCGAATGTTTGCGGCGCTCTGCTGTAAATCAAAGTTTCTTTTTATTTCTGGTTACATATTTCGCCTTATACTTATGATCTAATAATTTGCATGCGATAATTCAACAAAACTTCACTAACACGAACTTTTTCATAATGACACTATTTGAAGTTAATGAAAATTGAATGATTAAATGTGTGTGATTGTGATTTTTTTCCCGTACCAGCAGAGCGGCAGAGCCAGAGAGTAGTAGTACCTGACTTAGAACTTAGTCAGTAGAAGTAGTACCAGATCTTTGGTGATGTTTTCGGAAGGACAATACTATTGATTTAATAAGGCGGCTACATAATTTACATCCATCGAAACGTTATTGGTCTTACCAGCCTCTGTTAATAATAGTAAAATAAGTTCTTTCATTTATTCAAACCCAACACCTACTTTCGTTTTCAAAATGTTTGCACTTGTTCATATGAAGAAAATAATTTCATGTTTCCGATGGCGCTGTTTAGTGTCGTTATAAGTTATAAGCAAAAAAACGGGTTTTCCCGCTGGCGCTGAGCGTTCTCGACACACAGCAAGAAAGACATGTCTGGGCTTTTCTTATATAGTCTCTCTATATTCTCTCTATATATATTCCAAACGAAAGCCTTTAAAGTGCTATTTAATTATGAATTAGTATCTTATTATTAAAATAAATATAAAAGTATGAGTCAATTTTCTAACCCAAATGATCTATCAGAAATAAATGTTACTTTGCTGCAAATAAATAATTATAAAGGGCACTATTTTTGTTTAAAGAAAACCCCGAAGGACGGAGAAATGGATCAATACGCCATAGCCATAGCGTAATAATACACATATGTCAATGGATGAAAGAAACTGGCGACTGTGGGTAAGATCCTGACACTTAAATTCAAATGTTATTGATTTTTCTTCTGGATCTATGAGACAAAGTAATTGTCACATGTAGTAAATACCTAACGATGATCTTAAATGTGGTAACCAGGCAAATAAAGAAGTATTAGATCTGCGCAGTCGCAGACGTACTTTAAAACTGACCCGATTGTCAACTCGTTTCGAGACTTTATTCGGACCAAACGGTGTGCGTATTGACTGAATACATTTAGTCTGATGTAGACTAAGTTTTACAAAGATAGTAGCGAACCCTAACATGCATGATGCCTCGATAACTCGGCAACATAAATCCACAATAAGCCCTCCTGATGTGGGAGACGGACAACGAGGGGCTATGCTTAGATTCTGGACCTGGTAAGATGCTTTTCGCGCAAGCTCCAAGCGCAGTCGCAGATTGCACATTGTGAACATTCTGTGCCTGCGCAGTGAGCGTACTTTCGTTACTTTAGTTGACAGTCGTTACGAGGTGCGGGAAAAAGAAATAATCATTCATGATTAAAAATGTTTAAAATCAAGACAAGTAACTATCGACCTAAAGAAATAGCCTTGAAGTTGAGAGTGAGGTTTAATGGCAATATGGCGTCTTGTGATGGAACGGTTGCTTCGTCCTTCAACTTGAGACTCCACTATACTTCTCTCGGAAATCATTCCAAAGAAGAAGAATACGAAATGTCCCGGCTGTGTTCAGAACTTGTGTGCTGTGATCTCTGACCTAACACACAAGTCCAGCACACTTCGGCCGTAGGAAAAATACGAATCCAAACTTTTTAATTTGAAAAAAAATTTGAAAAATAGTAATCACTGAGTAATCAGCTAGCAGATTTTGTAAATGAAGATGACTTGTCTGTCTGTTTTCCGCACTTCAATTTTTCGGGGTCAGTTTGTTTAAAATTTAAAAACTTATTTTGTTGTGACTGTGATAGTCTACTCTACTCTAAGTTCTCATAATATATATTAAGTAAAGTAAAGGCTAGAATAAGACTTTGGAATCCAAATTCAAATGAATGAAAATTAAATGAGTGGGTGGTAGGGCTGGTAGGCTAAAAAAATAGTGATGACGATGAGTATACTATATCTATATAAGTATTATCTAAGTATTAATTTTACTATTCTATACTTACTATAAATTAACTTCGACTTAATTAACGATTAAAACTCTTCAAGTTAACCAGACGGAATAAATGAGCTTAGGCTTCGTATATTATAGCCAATAACTATAGTATAGGACTTGGACTACTACTAACTAGAGCCCCCACTTAACTAGAGTCAAGAGGGTCTAATTCTAATAAATTAATAATAATAATTAATAATAGTAATAGTAGTAGTAATTAGTAGAGATTACTACAACTAGGATAATAATAATAAGTTACTTATTATTAATAATAAGTAGAGGATAGGGGACTACCAGGTTAAATAGGGTCAGGGGCCTAAGGTGGCGAGAAATGGACCACTGTACAGGCATACTATTTTCAAAAACCAAATTTGATACCTGATGGTAGGAACTATTCATACTTCAATAGTACTTCTTAATTATTTATTTAATTAAACTAAGACTTGATTAAGCCTATAATTTAGTATAATTTAATTATAATAGACTGTAGTTGTATAAGTATAGGCATAGGCCAATAATAGTATTTTAGCCTAATACTAATACTTAAATAGATATTATTATTATATGTCTAGTTAGGTCTAATAATTTAATAATAATATCATAAATTATTATTTTATTTTCTGAGATAGCATCAATTTCAAATATACCATGCCATATTATATAGACCTAAACTAATCATTAATCATATTTTATTATAACTTTTTAATTTTTATAAAATTAAAATTTAAAATCATAGTTATAGATATTTTTCATATAATATATGAAATATGAAAATAAGCCACATAATGCTGGGTGAAGAGAAATGGACTAAATGATACGGCATGTGCAGGATGCATAGTTAAGCCACCAGAGTTAAATAAGTGTTAGAATAGCTAATAAAATGGTACAATTCTGAAGGCGAATGATATTTCGTTAAAAAAATATATTAATAGTTTATAATTGTGAAAAAGCGTACTTTTTACCTTTTTTTAAGTCCTTAAAACCTACCTCTTCTCTCGTTGTGCACATTAGTTGAATGAACAATTCCTTGTTTTTTAAATAATGGTTTATTTTTCCCTAATCTCCTGGTTTATTTTTCCCTACTCTCCCCTATTCTATTGCATTAAAAATCTGTAAGGTACCGGGTATACACATTTAAAATAAATGAGCGCAGTCTTAAATTTTTTTAAAAAAGGGAAAATTTAAAATCTAGTATAGAGACCATGGTTCCCAACCAATAGACTGCAATCCCAATAGGGGGCTTGGGAGGGTTTCTGTGGGGTTGCTGGCGAATAAACTTAGCTAAATAATTTTGCATTAAGGTGTGGGATACAAATTTAATCATTGCATTATGTTGTATGATAAACATATTGAAATATCTAGGATATGTTGTTCAATGCTTTTCTTTGACCCTACTAAAAAAAAGCCTTTTAAAAATGTATTGGTGTCATGGATCACTTCTATAAAATGCAGTCATTACTGAGAAAACTTGGGAACCTGTGATACATTGGCTTATGAGCCTTACCTTAAGTGAAGTCTGTAAAATTCATGCAATGATTTTATAAAGATACATGTCATTGCAAAACAGAAAATAAATGTAATATTATTATTAATTATATAATTATGTAACATCCTGAATAGACTACAAGTATAAGAAGACCTGTATTACTTAAGTCTAAAACTAATAGATTTTGATAAAATTAATATGTTACTATATATATCAATAAAAATTAAGTTATTACAAATGATTTTCCAATTTGTGACTAATTACAATGTATAGTTACAACAGTTCATTTATTTACATAATGAAAAATCTTTTCTGAAAGTCTTAAATTTGTGAATAAAAAACCCATTCCAGGGGAATATCAGTTTTGACCATTTGTTGAAATTTTTATATTTTTATTTCCTTTGATGCTCTTTAGTGTGTCTCAAAGTCACATCACCAGTTCCACTGCTTGAAGTTATAAATTTTCAAGATGATGAACTCTGGTTTAGGAAATGGTGTACACAGTGGAATGTCGTCTGGAATAAATCACATCAACCACAGTATGATGGAGGATGATCTAAGCGATGGGCCTTCCTCACCTGAAAGTGCTTTTGATGCATCAGATTTGATGCACAGCTCTATGGCAGATGAAGTCACAGCACAACTAGCAGCAGCAGGTACACATCTTAGGCTAATCAAATTACTCCTGAGTTGGATCAATAATAGCATTCAATAGAAATAATTTGAAATATGATGGAATAGCAACATTTTAATAATCCATAGACAAAGAGTATTAAAGACAGAATATTTTGTTTTGATAATTGTAGAAGGTGACGATTTATTTAGTTAAACTCATCTGTTCCTCAGGTCCGGTGGGTATAGCTGCAGCAGCTGCCATAGCAACAGGTAAAAAGAAAGGTCATCCCCATCAATTTGAGACAAATCCTTCGCGGCGGAAAAGGCAGCAAACCAGATTATTAAGGTCATTTTATTTAAAGATCTTAATATTTTTGAAAATCTGCTCATCATTGTATAGTAAGTTAATGCACACCTTTAATTAGATCTTGACTAATAATTTCAATATATGGCTATCCTCCACTCCCTCCCTCCGTCCACCTTTTAAATGTTATTGCTTAAAATATTAAAAAAACATCATTAAGAACCTGTTGTTACATATGTAATGAACATATTTAAAAAATTAATTTACAGAAAACTGAAGAATACCATAGAAGAATATACAACACGAGTGGGTCAGCAAGCTATCGTGTTGTGCTGTACACCAGGGCGAACACCCGGGACACCCAGCTCCTTGTATAAAGTGTTTGGATCTCAGCCTCTAGAGAATGTGGTAAGAATCTTTTTCAAGTCGGGAAGACACAATTTAAAGATTGATGTAAACAATAACATCATGTTTATTTATACAGTTTCTTGACCTCTTTTTTACTAGATAAGAAACTGTCGCAGTGTGGTCACTCAAGAGCTTGAGAGCGCGCTGCAGGAACAAGCCGCTCAACACCAAGGGGACACAACTCACCTCCACGAATTACCTCCTCTTGTGATAGACGGCATTCCAACACCTATTGACAAAATGACCCAGGTAGTGTTTGGTTTCAAAAGTGGTTTAAAATTTAAAAGCGGCTACATTTTTTTTAACAGTTACTCTTTTTTTGCCATAGTTATATCTCATAATATCACTTGAACCGAATTTCTTCCAGGCTCAGCTTCGGAACTTTATTCCTGAGATGTTAAAATATTCCACATGTAGAAGTAAACCTGGCTGGGGGAAGCCAGAGTGTCGACCCCCTTGGTGGCCTGCTGATCTTCCATGGGCAAATGTTCGAAGTGATGCACGAACAGACAAACGGGTACGAAATATTGTTTTCTAACTATGTTAATAAGAATTAATAAGAAGATATAAGAAGCTTTTTATAAATTAGGTAACATTCTAGAGTTCTCCAAATTCCTTGAGACAAATCTGTTGTTGGATGAGACGTTTTTCTTGTCACTGTAAATCAGTAAGAGAAACTAAAATAGTTCACTCCAAATCAATTGGTTTGGGTTTGAATCCCTTGATCTAGGATCTATTGAAATGAAAATGCGTTTTGAATGCAATATAAATATTTCACGTCTTTATTTTACTCCAGGTTTCTTGGACAGAAGCTTTAAGGACTATAGTGAAAGACTGCTACAAACATCATGGCAGAGAAGACCTACTTCATGTTTTTAGTGATGAAGCCACTACTCAAAGTGGACAAACTAGTACCCCATTTGCTGGTACCATGCTACAAACAATCAATAATCCCGATGGGACGGTGTCCATCATTCAGCTGGATACAGGCCCATCTGGGAACTCTGTGTTCACACTGCCTGATGGAACCCAGGCAACTGTCGTTCATGCGGTCAGTGCTGGGCACCATGTCAACATGACGGTATGGAACTCTCAGCTCAAGTTAAGAAAACAATATTCATGTAGTGTTTTGTTCGTATGTTACATCATTGATTCCTAATTTGTGATGGTAAAGCAGAGGAATTTTTTTATGGGTCGTCCATCATTGCTCTTGTGTCTTTTTTTTTTTTTTTTTTTGCATGCTAAATATTTTTTTTTTCTTTTCCTTGAATTCACTTCTTGCATGTGAGTTTAAACTTTGTAGGAAGGAGTTAAACTCTTCTTAAGATTTAAAATAAAATTTTCACTAATAATTGTTTTTTTTTTTTTTTTTTTTTTTGCATGCTAAATATTTTATTGTTCTGTTCCGTGAATTCACTTCATGCATGTGAGTTCAAACTTTGTAGGAAGGAGTTAAACTCTTCTTAAGATGTAAAATACAATTTTCACTAATAGTCTCTCCAAATATTATGTGAAGATACTTTCATATTAGGTAAACTCAATATGAAATTAGTAAGACAAAGTAAGGTTAAACCTGAAAAAGGATGCAACAAAACATCGATCGTGTCGGCAGGAAGCCTTCATCTGCGAACAAAACAGAAAAAACAGATTAAAATTTAAAAATAGCACTTAGCTTAGAAATAGTATCCAAGAGGGCAGCAAAAGAATTACACAATTCATTTGCTGCCCTCTTGGATACTACTTCTAAGCTAAGTGCTTACTTTGTCTTACTAATTTCATATTGTGCTAACTTGATTGCAGTGTCTCCCCTTATTACCCAAGGTAAACTCAAACAGGCCCTTACTAACTAACCAGTTGTTGGAAATGTTGCTAAAGATTTTTATTAGAAATAAAATGGCTTAAGTTACTCACTTGTAAAAGGTTGGTTAAGTCCATTTTACCATTACCTTTTGTCATCCATTTACCATTGAAACCAAACACTACTTACTTGAAAGAAAGGTGAACATTTTGAAATAACTCATTTTGATTTTAGGAGGCTAGCCAGGCTGTTCAGACATTAGCTGAAGTTGCTGCCAATCAACAGGAAGCTTCAGCCTCTAATCAAGTCAACCCTGTGAGTGTGGAGATGACGGACGGTCATGCCACAATGCAAGCATTCGCCACTGCAACTGGCCAGATCATCCTATCTGGTGATGGAGCATTAGGTGGTTTACAAGGTAATTTTTGAAAGCCAGGATTATTTCATTTGGATTCCCAATTCTGACTGCTTTAAAGTAGGGCTTCTCAACCCACAGTGTTATTTAGGCATCTCTTGCATAAGGTAAGGGTTGTACAGTGGTTCTTAAACTTCTATCCACTGGCCGGCAGTTTTTAAAAACATATTGTTGCGCAATACAATTTTGTTTTATAAAAAATACTTTCAATAACATGTGCAAGATCTTAATCAACAAAATAATGACTTCTTTAGATAACAAATCCAGTTGGATTATATAATGAAAATCAAAATATGCAAATTCAATGAGTGGTATTGGTTAATTTCATTGGTATTTGGTGTTATTTGAGGTAGACCCAATCTTATTAATGCAAGATAGTCTTTTTCTTTCAGCTATGTGTCGAAAATGTTTTTTTTGTGTCGAGAACTGTACAAAAAATATGTCCCAGTTATGAACTCATTAAGACTCCTGCATTACAGTTTGCAATCAGAAAATACAGGCAATTTTATCCTCATTGTTAGATTTGAACACCTTTGTAACTTGCCACAGCTTTTCCCATCACGCCAGCTTTGTTTGTGTTCATACTATTTATTACTTGTTAAATTTTTTTTAACCTATTTTGAACACTTGCAGGGCTCTTCTGAACCAGTTTTGTATTAATCTAGAAATAAACGAATACCAGAGACTGAGCAAAAAAAATCTAATGCTCTTAATATATTAAAGGCAAAAATGGGCTCAGCTTGATAAAAAGACAAACTTCATTTGAATGAGCTGATTGAAAAAATACATGAGTTTTCTATGGATTTTTCTATTTTATATGAGCTGCCAAACTTCTCACATTTTCCCATCATACATTTTTTTTACACAAACTTAATATGCTATCAAGAATCTCAATTGTTTTGCTTCAAACAGAATGTAACTGCTATTCCATTATTATGTAACACAGGTAATTTAAATGGCCAACTTAGCATTGTTTGTCAATTCTGAAATAACTTGCCAACATTAACTGGCTTAACAAGCATTTTTCTTTAAGGTGTATGATAAGATCTGTCTTACTGTCTCTTGCTCAGCTCTATACCTAGAAAGTTCTTATAAACCGTTTCTTTTTCATCATCCAAAAGGTTGGGACCATTAATCTTTGCAAAAAATACAAGCAGTAGCATCAGCTAAAGATGACTGTTCTTTTTAACCAATGTGAAACCTGAATTTTTTTTCAAGTTCATATTTAAAAATTTTTTTTTTTCCACTTCAGGTATCGTAACCATTCCAGCATCAATGTATCAACAAATGACAGGATTAGCCTTGCCTGAAGCAGCACAAGGAACAATACAACAGGTACTTCTTGATTTTGAGACTTGGGATTTGATATGCAGGTCATTCTAGTAGATGCTGGTACAGATGTGATGAATTGTAATGGAGGGATTTAATTAAATTAAAATCTGTTCTCACTGTAACTCTCTAAAAGTAAAAGCGGAAGTGCTATTTTTTAAAACACATTGTTTTCAAATTTATTCAGATCTAAACAGTATTCCCTTGTCCTGTCCTGTAAAAATATTTTAAAAATTAGTGGAAACTACATTTTCGTCACATGATCTAATATAATTTTTAAAAAGTTTGTTAGTTATTAGGTTTTTAACATAGTGTAAAATTTCGAAAACAAATATGTTTAGAGAGTTACTTTGACAATATAGATATTAGAACATAGAACCTGGACTAGAAAAGCAGTTTTAATCTTATTTTAATTTTTAATCAACTAAAAATAATTAATGAAATACATTGTTTCAATTAGGTAAATTAGCAATTAGATTTATATGTATAAGTGCCATCCTATGCTAAATTAATCCTTAGCTGTGTAGGTAAAATTGCTTTAAAATCTATTTTATGATTGTGAAGTTTATAATACAATCGTTTTAATCTTGCAAACATATCTGTGAACTGTACTGGGAGAGAATAATTGAGAATGTTATAAACTTGTCCATTTATCTCGCAGGTCACAATGACTAGTGTTGGAAACATGAAGACAGAGATACCAGAAGTATTGCAAGGGGTTGAAATCACAAGTGCTGATCATTTAACAGGCCAGCAGATATCATGACACTTGCTCATGTCTGAATGATATACCAACTTGTCATGTACATACAAAACCACAGAACAAGGCTTCAGGGATCTTCTAAAGTTGAAATGGCACACTAGAGAAAAATGGATAATTTATTCAAAAATGACTTCTTGGGTGAACTAAAATCTAGAAGAGATGAAGCACTTCCCTTTGAACCACAAGTGACAATGGTCAGCCTTTTTAAGGCTTTTTTTTTTAATATGAGAAACTGAACATTTGTGTCTATAAGATGTACAGAAGTGGCCACGGGATGAATAGTTTTCTTAACAAGCCTTGTCTTGAATTGTGGCTGGGACTTGTGATATTTGACCTCTGATTTATTTTATATTTTACATTGTAATTGCATTGTTTATGTCACTTATTTTTTATTGTGGTCTGCTTACATGCACGAAACACAACATTGAAGGTAAATGTTTTCTTCCAACCTCTGTACAAATACCAGGCAAAATTTATTTCTTGCTAAAACACAAACCTTGATTTGAAAATATTTTTTTGGTAAAATTGTGTAGTTAAAATAAAAGATGCTTTAAAAAAAAATAAACACAAATGTTTCTAAATTTACTTTTATTTATTACTGCTTTTCCTCAATAATTCTAATCATGTTAGACCATAGAATCACCCACACACTCAGGTTATCACAAATATACAGAACATGTGGAATCATCATACATTCTGTTACATAACTAAATATTTTCATATAGTTGAAACCCTTCAATTTGTACAATATTTTTGTTGTTGCTAGTAGCTATAGGTGACAAATTTTAGAAAAGATAATTCTTGAATAAAATGATCAGCTGAAGTACCAAATGTTAAAATAATGTAAATGGTTGATAATTACAAGATGTCAAAATTATTCACATTTCCTTCAATTTTAAAAAATTAAGATAGAATGTTTACGTGACATGGGGTGCAATTCTACTCTATATATTTTTCTGAATTTGCAATATAAAAATGATGATACTTAGCATCAACAGGATTAAACTTTTTTTCCTATGAACTTTTAGTGCCACCAGTCTATGCTTGACACATTCAAATATTGCTGGGAAATCATCCTTTTATTTAGGCACCCAATGTGGCATCTATATTAATATTAGCTTTGTCATAGCTTAATGTTATACAATAGTTAAATGCATTTTCTGTTAGGAAATAAAAAGAAACGGGGTAGATCGTGTGTACATGAGAAGTTAGTTTAATTTTAAGTAAAGCTTTTACTTTTAGGTGTTAAAAATAAAATGAACGAACTATCTACTAGCTAAAGAAAATTAATACCTGAGGTTGGGCAGTAAGTTAAATTCATATACCCGGTACTTCCAAATTTGGGGAAGGGGAAATTAGTGGACATAACACCTGCCATAAAGTAACATGTACTGCATTCTTTTGGAGAGCTAAAACTAGAAAACTGATTGTACATTGAAACCGCCCCCATCCTTCACTAAACTAGTATTTTGAAATGACAGATAAAGACATGATTGTCATAAGGAAAAAATCTTTGTGCAACAGACCAGATGAAAATAACTAATAAACTTGAATCAGTATGGTACATGATAAAAAGAGTCCTGATTTTCAAGATGTACGCCCTTTACACACAAAAAGCCAGCAGACATTTAAAACCCTTCATCATATACAACAGCTAAGGCCAATTGCTCCACCAGCCAGGAGTTTTTTGTTTGTTCTAGGCATGATAGGCTCGATGGTTGCCAAGGAAGATAAAAGAATGATAAACATGTTTTAGCAGCCTTCATATTACTAATACTGGTGCTTGGGAAAATAACATTTGGTCTATTAGTGTGCAATGCTTCCAGGGAATTTTGTAACATACGGGTACAAGATTTAAAAAAAAATATCTGAAAAAGAAACTTGCACTATTTTTTAAAACTAAACTATTATTTTGAGAAAAAGAAATAGTGTACCTGAATTATCTGAACTTTAAAAAAAGAATGTCAAGATATTAAATGCACATTATTGAATCAAATATTTACAAGAACGATTGAAAAAACATGACATAATGAATGAGTCATGAGGCCACCTTACTTCTAATGTGATGGAAATTGTTAAGCCTTAATTTTTTAGCAATGTCATGCAAACCCCTGACCACCTGCCAGATAGCACTAATTTCCTAATAATATTTAGCAATAAATGCGACATACATTCATGTTATTTAAAATAAACATTTAGCATCAAAGGTTACAAAGAAAGTAATGGAAACTGTACTGTTTACATAGCAATATTGAGATGGAAACACTTGGAAATTTTGCATTCTGCTGAATCTGAAAGTTCTCCTCTCCCAATGTCCTTTCATTCAAAATATAATAATATACATCCACATACATTAGAAAAAAAAGTTATGATAAATTTACATCCTCAAACATTAGCATCTTCTGGAGTAAAATAATTTTAGTATCAGTGATTTGTATGACCAGAACAGAATTAGATTGATCTTGAATATGCATTGTCATCACCTTGCACATCTCTGGCTCATTTTCAAAAGTTATGCTCTTGGCCAAAAAGGAAATCACACTGATTTACACAAGCCATGGGTCTCGGAATTAGGCACATGTCTTCACTAAGACCATGTTGTGAATCACTCAAGCTCAACAAAGCAATCACACAAACTTGGACCAGTTGTTGACACACATTTTAATGTGTAATGGGGCAGCACTAACACACTCTCTGGCATGTTCAATAAATGTGTAACAACACAATCACCAGCATTTGAACAAATGTTTAAAAAAAAATATATATATATAAGATTAATGACATGTTCAGTTCATCAAATGGTCATAACCACATACAGTCAACTCTAGGCCGAAATTAGAAATGGACATTCAGAAATGTTGGAATCAGATAAATGATCATGCAATGGTGTCCCTTTTCAAAATAATAGGCAGGTAACTGCTGATTTAATTTTTTTTTTTTACAGAAGTGTTTGTAAAGCTGACTGTATGTGCATTTAAAGAACAATTTCACCACAACCAGAGCATGTTATTAAACAATATTCTATGGAAATAAAAGATATACAAAGTTTTTGTTAGCTGCTAGTTATAAAAAATGGTCACCAGTTTTTTGTTTTAACAATACTTAAAATAAAACCTAGCATTCACAGTAGTTTTAAGTAGATTAACAAACCACACTCACATCCTATGGACACACAAAAAAAAGTCTAGCAGTAGTTTGTTTATGACCATGTTCTCATTCATTTGGCATTAATATTTTTAAATGGTATAAATATGGAAGGACCCAAATACAAATCCATGGACTTGAGCTCATCTCACAAGTGAAGTCTATCATTCTAATTCTACAGTTTAAAGGTGTGAAACAAAAAGTCTACAGTCATTACAGTGAAATGATGTTCAAGATGGATGCTCAATGCGAATTCTGTTGTTAAGTTGTTGCACACAGGATATGAAGGTGGAGCAGTCGATGGAATGGTAACAGGCATGACAGCTCTAATGGTTGGCCTGCATCAGTACCTGTGGAGCAACGAGTGTTGGTAAAGCCTTGATGAACTTTCAAGTACATGGGGTGTAAGTCATGGAAGGGGGGGATGGTTAAGGTGGTCTATTCTAGGGCCCCCTGACAGTGAATGGAGACTGGTATTACGAGGATGTATAATGGCCCCTTTGATGTTTATTTCCAAAAAGCAAGTATTAAAGTACTTTCAAAGAGATATTTTTATTATTTTTAGCCTTATGTTTTATGGATATTTTAAGCAAAATTTACATTTCATAAAATCAATGCCCATCAATCTGTCAAACAGGAAAAAAAAAAAAAGTTAACAGTAAATAGTTTAGGCTCATTTATTTCAGGGCAGCCCTAGTATAGACCATTGTTTTCATCTATTTCTGGGCAGCCCTATTCTAGAACATTGTTTTCATCCAATTCTGGGCAGCCCTAGTCTAGATCAGTGTTTTCAACTATTTATTGGGGATTACTGGTGTGCTTTTTCACATTTGCAGCCTGATATAATGGTGCCTCCTCAAGAAATATTGTCTATGATACCCATGCATTCCAAATCTCTTCGAAGTTATATTGAATGAACAGTGTTCTCTTGATTTGCGTGGGTTTTAAACAAAATTTGCATAAAAAAAACCCACACAGATAGAGACTGAACTACAGAAATCTTATTTCACATTATATTACAGCATCATTTCAGAATGCTCCAATATGATGTAGTTAGGACATTTGAATTTTGTTAAACTGTAAAATTGATTCCATTTTTTTCTTCATAGAGAATTTAATAAAAATGTATGAAATTCATAAAAAAGATTATTACCCACTTTCACAGCATAAGGTGCAGGAAATGTAGGGCAATAAATTCTAGTTAAAATTAGGGATTTCATTATACGTGCATAAGCAATTTTTTTCAATCCTCTACAACACTTTATATTTAGAAATAGCAACTAGAAAATATTATGAATGTTCTCCCCTTTGTTGCTAACACATTCTAAAATGTTTACTAATTTCCTAAATGGATAAATCAATATTTTTTAAAGAAATAACTTCTTTAAAGGCTAATAATCAAAATCAAATATTGCATTTCCAGTTAAGTTATAGTTATTTTTACATTAAATTTTATTTATATAAAATTGTCCTTTCCTGGTTTTCAAATCTGCAAACCTGTCAATCACTTGATCAAAGTCAATTTCCTTCACCGTATCGCTTTCAAATGATAGTAGAGCTAGGTCAGAAAGCCTTGATTGTCCCAAGGTGGATCAAAAATAGTTATTGATAAGTCTTAGTTTTGAAAAGCTCCATTCACATGACGCCACAGACACACAGATTGTAAAAAACAATTGAAGGCTTAGCAAGAATTTCGGAAGAGATTCTAGGAAGTCCTATTCAGCTATGAATTTCAAAACTTCAAATACTGACCAGTCCATGACTTTGTGAAATTCAATATTCAATTTATGTGTCTTGTAAACCTTGGTATTTCCTTTAAAAGTTCATCTTGTGATAACTCATCATCAAAAGAGTTTAATTTTGGAACGGGCAACTATAACTCTTCTTCACTTGCTGACAGTAGACTCTTGGGTTGAACGGCCCAAACTTCCTGGATCGCTGATGATCTGATCTGGAGTTCAGAATGAAAGCGATCAATACACTCCAGCGTCTCCCTACTGTTTTCTTCTCACAGAGAGAGAGAGTCCTGCATCTATTAATTATTCTCCTGCCATTCTGTTTTTAAACATTAATCTTCTCTCTACCGAAATTCCATATTGGTATTATTTTTAAAGTGCCTTTTCAATAGCATGTTCCACCAAGTGACAGCGGTTCTCATGCAGAAACAATCTTAAAGCCTCTAGGTTGGTCACCTCTTTGTTAAGAGTAAAGCCTTTAGTCTGCAGATACTGCTGTGTAAGATTAAATTCCTCAAGTAGATCATCCCAAAGGTAAAGGTAGCAGTGAAATCACTTAAAGACCTTGTGTTGTATCTCTTGTATCCAAATTTTCAAGAGTATCACATAGAGCTTCAATCGCCGCCACACTTTCAGCAAACTTATCTTTCCATGTTTTAACAGCAGCATGATGAGCACTCCAACGTGCTGAGTCTTTTCACTGACATTCAGCTGTGTTCAATTAAAAAATTTGATGTCCCCCCTGTGCGGTCCGCATCCCTCGCACCCAATAAAGCTACGCCACTGGTGGTAGGTAACTTAAACATACAACAATTCTATAACCCAAAGAGGAAACAAAACTTTTAAAATGTTTAAAAAAGTAAGTCCACTGGTTTGGGCCAATGAAATTACAGCACTTGCTTAAACAATTTTAGACGTATTCATCTAATTTTTAAAAGCATTTATATCATTTGAAAGATATCACCTCCCCTAATTTTTTACCCATAAAGATTAATAATGCATAATTCCTTAAAATATGCTTTTAAAACCATTTGTCCAAATGATCTAGCTTTGCATTGTTGAGTCTGTAAGACATTGTGTACCCTATCAAATAAACAGGATACCACAAAGGAAATAATTCAATTTCAATAGTCCTTGATATTCCCTTTAACTATTCACCTGTAATAGTTTGGTTTGAATGGACCAGCCTTGTTAAGTCCTAAATATTTGGCCTGGTCATCAGTCAGTTCTGTCAAATGGGCATCAAACGTGGGGAGATGAAGGCTTGCTACGTACTCATCTGAGGCATCAAATAAAATACATTAATCATGCACTTTATCATTGAAACCGCTCTTTGGATATTAACTGAATCTACACTGATAAATCCTGAATCTCTACTTGCACAATCCAAATATCCACTAATATTACCTGAATCTTCAATGAAAGATTTTTATAGTAGTTTTAACAACCCAACAATAGTCGTGATAATGAAACTATAACTGCTACAACAAAACAGACAAGTTTATTATTTATATAAAAATAATGTAAGTTTGACACTAAGTTTGACACTAAGTTTGACATTAAGTTTAACATTAAGTTTGACACTTAGTTTGACACAAGTTTGATACAAGTACAATAAAAAGTTATTTATCTGTTCAATTATTTCCAATGAACTATTGCTGGAACATCCTAGCAACATATTTATTAATTCTATGAATCTACCCATAATTCTATCCACCTAACCATGATTCTATGAACCTACCCATAATTATATGCACCTACCCATGATTCTATGCACCTATCCATGATTCTATGCACCAATCTATGATTCTATGCATCTACTCATGATTCTATGCATCTACTCATGATTCTATGCATCCAACCAAGATTCTATGAACCTACCCATGATTCTATGAATCTACCCATGATTCTATGCACCTACCCATGATTCTATGAACCTACCCATGATTCTATGAATCTACACATTATTCTATGCACCTACCCATTTTCTTTGGCAGTAAATAAACATCTTGTTTGTATCGGCCACCAGGAGCATTGAAGAGCTCTATGAGAGCCAGGGCCTGGAATAGGGAAAAAAAAAAAAAATGTGTGAAAATAATTGTTTTTAAAGTGTTTGATAGTTCAGAGCAGTGGTCACAACACACATTTTGGCACCAAAGTCACAAGTGTGTTGGAAGATTTTGATTGAAATAAATAAAAAATACCTTAAAGTTAGAAGAATATTATTTTAATTGATAAAATCTAATATAACAATAATTTTCTTTTCTGTGATGCTATACACTGAAACATATAAAAATAATTGAATTGTTTGAAACTTTTATGTTAATTCTATTGTGTAAAAGATCTAAAAAGTTTGAAAACAGCTGGTGTAGAGTGAAATATTTGAGATTATATTTTCATAATAACAAAGAGGATGACATTTGAAAACATGGAGTGAAATCTTTACCAAATGCTTTGAAAGACACATGTTGATTTTGTGAATAATCTTTAATTTATAGTATATAGCTTTTAAGTTCTAAATTAATTTTTTTATAAGTACCATTCTTTACCTGTGTAGTAGCAGTGATGGAGACCACAAATGACGGTACAGATGAGCAGCTTAGGTTGACAAGACGTCCCTGGGGACAGGTACAAAGCAATAGTCCTTAACAATTTGTCTAGAAAATTTAGTCAATGTTGAAGTGTAAAGTGGACCTATTTTAAATGTTAATAATTATTCTTATTTTTTTTCTCCTGATTTCTGAAACTGTTTTGTAACTAAAGATATGTTAAAATGTATATTTCAGTTGAAAATTTTAAGTCATTTTCAAAAAAGGAAAATGGAGGAAAGAAGTGCGAAAACAGTTATATCTATTATCAATTGATTAAAGATACCAGAACTACTCAATCCAAATTTCTTTAAAAAAATTTTTTTATATTTTTTTTAAAAATTTTTCTTGCCCATATCTAATATTTCAGTGCAAAGAATGGTCAGTAGACTAACATTCATTGAAGTTTAGCTATCTCAATTGTAAGGCCAGGCTTATAAACAAAAGGCAGTAATTATATAATATCAAAAGAAACAACCAAGAATTATTACTAGTGCCACTTTATATGTAGACAAGTTGTGGACAGAATGTCCTGGGCTAGAGCTGAGAGGAGTGGGGGGGGGGGGGAAGAGAGAGAGAAGGTAACAGGGTAGAGAGGGGGCGTGACCCACCTTATGAAATGATTGATGCCACTGTTCAAGCTAACTTACTAACTAGGGCAAGAAAGACTGACATGCTCACCCATCAAAGAATATGATCATGTACATCACAACAAGAAGTGTACTGACAAAAAAAACAACAAAAAACGAAACGAAACAAGAACATGGCCAATATAATTACAGGACTACCGACCTCAGCCAATAGGATGATCCTTTTGCCATCTGGCCAGATTATGTGGTCAACCTGCGATCTCACCTTCTCCCAAGTCAACTCAGGAGTCCTCAGACTTGCCTATGGCACACAGACAAATGATAGATTGATGATATACAGTGAACAAAGTATTAAGGCACAAAGTTAGTTGTATTAATATATATGTTAAGTACTTATATCAAAATAAATAAAAATTCCAAATAACTCAGGGGGTGGGATTTTTGCATTTAAATCCCCCCCCCCCCCCCCCCCTTTTCCACCCCCCCCATTTTTTTTTTTTTTTTTTATTTCAATTTTTTTTTTTAAAAAAAAAAAAAAAATCCCAAAAACCCCGGGGGGGGGATTTTTTCATTTAAAACCCCCCCCCCCCCTCCAACTTTCACAATCACCACTGATTTATTTATTTGATGAATGTCAATATTTATTTATTGATATATATGTATATATATATATATAATATATAAAAAGACATTGATTGGATTTGCATGTATTTTCAAAAGCAATAAAAATAAAAAATCCTTCCACCACTCCCAGACCTGTTTACCCTTACGCTTTCATCATAGTCACTATGTTATTAAGCCTAAGACTATGGCACTAACGACGAGCCTAGAGTAACTATGGTTTCTGGCATTTTGTTTGTTTGATTTTTAATTTAAAAAATAAATAATTGGGGTGTTTTCAGTAAAAATTTACTGTATTTTTTGTTTTAACACAGTGTGCCATAAAATAAGAAGGACAGTGATCTGCCTTTTTGGTCTGTATCTCCGTTGAGCCAACAAGGATATTTTTCTTTTAATTGTTAATACTGAACTGCCAATGTATCGCCTATTTTTAGCCCTTCTGTTATTTATAGATTGGCTTTAGCCTCAATCCTGCAATGCTAGTCGGTTTCCCTTGATTGCGCATGCTCTTTCCAAGTTTCTGATGTTTTTGTACTTTTAAACAAATTAAATTTCGTATCGTAATAAATAGTAATACTGTAATGCCTTGGAAGTTTATTCTGTAAAGTTCACTTATCAACATATTTAGGGGCAAGTAAAGAGTACAATTATTGTTTATTTAAGTCAATAATTATTTTAATGTAGTTTTTCTAGCTTTTACTTTTAACTGCTTGATAGGCATTTTAAATAGATTAAAACTATATCTATGTCAATCATCGTTTATTAGCTGTGTAACCCATGCCCATGACTAAAAATAAAATTTTACTTATGTCATTGTCTCTTACTAACTTTTCACTAGGCTTAGTCTACTTTTTTTTCAATTTTACAATAAGCCTAATGATAATAAAAATACTAATCCGAATAATAGTAATAATAGAAGTTTACGGTATGAGTCGTAGTTCTATGCTATGATCAAAGTTAAGGAATTTGATTTTTAAATTTAACATAGGATATGCGTCCAGTGTACTTTAACATAGTAATATAATAGACCTTTTTTTAAAAAAAAAAGCTAACATCTAGCCTTTAATAAATTAAAAGCCTCAGTTATTTTATAAAGTTCTTTTTTTCATAGTTCACTAATAATAGGCTTAATAGTGAAGAATGAAAACTAAATTCTAAATGCCCCATTTGCAATTTTCATTTTTCAAAATGTTCTCGATACCCCTTCTTCTGCACTTCATTGGCTCAAACATGCATCGACATGTTTTATTATCTCTAACATATTAATACTGGTGTAAATAGTATAATAGACTGTACTATATGATATATGACCCTCCATGAGCCTAGTATGATAATATATTAATTCTTTTTTTTGTTTTTATATTCAGGGTCTAAGGTTAATAAAATAATGCCCAACTACACGCATCTTGAAATACTGATGATGGTTAAGAGAGCAACCAAGTCATCACTGATACACTCTTCAAGATTTATTGATATACGTTTAATTGATGTACATCAGGTGCCCAATTCTGGAACTTCTCAGACTCAGTGAAGATCTCAAAATATGTATCCAAGTGTGAAACCCTGATGACAGAGATTTTATAGACACTAAAGTGGGTTTACACTAACAACTACTTTTCCTTGCTAGGAAAACACATGAACTCATATGTGAACGGATTTTTTCCACTTGTGGTAGAATCCATGTTCTAGAATCCCACAAAGAGATAAGATACATTGCCAAACTTTTTTAGGACTTTGAAAATAAAGGCAAAAAAATTATAAAATCTTTTTAAGTAAACTGATAAAAAAATGTGCGCCATTGATAGGAAACTTACTAAATATTTACTTGTATACACCTTTATTGGTTAATTTTGTTCCCATGTTTAGTGTTTCAATTTTGTTGTTCATTTTACAAATTCATAATTTTTTTCTTACTACCAAAAAAACCAACAAAGTTTTGTGTGGCAATAGTCATGAATTTTAGCTCATGGCTATCAGTCAAGCAAGTCTGTGCAGTCAGTGCCTTTTGTCCTTGCCTAAGACCTTTTCTCATCCTTAGGAAAGATATCGGAGGACCATATCCTTTGCGTTAGCTAATGTAAGCATTTGAGTGGATTTCCTGACACAACTTGTATTGTGATTGTGAACAACAAATGACCTTTGGAGCTTGAAAATATGCTCTTGAGATCTGAAAACTACTCTGACACTAACCTGGAGATAAACAGGTGAGCATACCTGATCAATGAAGCAATATTTGGTTTATTTAAATATATCCAAGTAACTGATTGGCAGTGATGAAGCCATCTCTACTGCTCGATCCTTCTTACATCCACGACAACGGCCTCTGTCTACTTACCACATCAATCTCAGTGTTTGAATGTCCCATGTTGCAGACGATACATCCGTTCTTCAACCTGTCCAGGTGACTTCTCATCACCACATTCTTGTTCCCGGTGCAGGTGATCAGTACATCAATGTTTCGCACTACTTCATCTAGCTTCACCACACGGAAACCATCCATGCTAAGCAAAGACAACATGGTGCATGAAGTTTGTCAACTCAAACAGTCAATAGGTGCTTACAAGAATCTTACCCATCTAATCATTTATAGGTGCTTACAAGAAACTTACCCATCTAATCATTTATAGGTGCTTACAAGAATCTTACCCATCTAATCATTTATTAGATTCTATTACAAAAAAGGCCATGCCTAATATATAAATTATTGAAATTATGTTGGCAAGAAAGAGAAAAACATAACCTCTTATTGAATAATAGACAAACTTAACACTATTTAAATATCAATTAAAACCAGCTTACTATTCTGTATTAAGTATAAATAAAAATGGATGTAAAAAAAGTAAAGCCCTGCTATTATGATTTTGAAACATTTTAAAGAAATGTTAATTCCATGCATTTTCAATTATTAATTTCCTTAACAACAAAGTGTGTTGAGTTTTTTTTAAATATAATTATAATAACTTACAACAAAAAAAAAATTATTCAAGTATATAATAATTTCTTTTATATTCAATAATAAAATGTTAATTTAACTATCAGTTTACTTGACATGATTAGTTTTACATACCAATAGAAAAAAGGTGGCGACAAAGCTTACAATAGACTGGATTTAGACACAGTTGTAACAACAGTATCAGTAAACTCACCAGGCTTGGAGGGCACAAATGGGATCAATCTCAGTCACACTGACGATGGCACCCAGACCTTTGAGGGCCTGACTGCAGCCTTTGCCAACCTGGAGATCAGAGAAATGCTGGTCATTGTGGTGGAGAGACACGGCTACAGGAAACTACTAGCAAATTTGGTTTAAATAACTGTTGTTTCAAAATATTTTTTATTTCAAGCAAGATGTTAAAAAAAACCCAAGAAGTTTCAAAATGTGAACTAACAAATGGTGGTAGATTGGTTTCACATTAAGACTGCTACATTGCAGCAGAAGCCAACAAATGGTGGTAGATTCGTTTCACATTAAGACTGCTACATTGCAACAGAAACCAACAAATGGTGGTAGATTGTTTTCACATTAAGACTACTATATTGCAGTAGAAACCAACAAATGGTGGTAGATTGGTTTAACATTAAGACTACTACATTGCAGTAGAAACCAACAAATGGTGGTAGATTGGTTTAACATTAAGACTACTACATTGCAGTAGAAACCAACAAATGGTGGTAGATTGGTTTCACACTAAGACTACTATATTGCAGTAGAAACCAACAAATGGTGGTAGATTGGTTTCATATTAAGACTACTATATTGCAGCAGAAGCCAAAAAATGGTGTTAGATTGGTTTCACATTAAGACTACTACATTGCAGTAGAAACCAACAAATGGTGGTAGATTGGTTTCACATTAAGACTACTACATTGCAGTAGAAACCAACAAATGGTGGTAGATTGGTTTCACATTAAGACTACTACATTGCAGTAGAACCAAAAAATGGTGGTAGATTGGTTTCACATTAAGACTACTACATTGCAGTAGAAGCCAACTATTTATGTCTCACCTCTCCAAAACCACAAATGAGAACCTGTTTCCCACCAAACATCACATCAGTTGTTCTCTTCAATCTTTTTTATATAAAAAAAAAAAAAAAAAAAAAAAAAAAAAAAAAAATTTTTTAAAAAAAAAAAAAAAAAAAAAAAAAAAAAAAAAAAAAAAAAAAAAAAAAAAAAAAAAAAAAAAAAAAAAGACATTTTTAGATAGAATTGAGTTAAAAATATATATGATTATTAATAAATCATGTAAATATTATAAATATTTAAGTAACCTCATTTTAACATTATTTGGCTCCCAATTAGATCAATTTTTATTCTTTTGATTTGGAAAATGGAAAATCTAAAACTTTTAAAAGTAAAAAACAACCGAAATCTGTAAAGGCCACATATAAGAAAATAACATTTGAAAACAATACATTTTTAAGAAAAAAAAAACACTCACGCATCCAGAATAGATTCTCTACAGCTGTACAGGTTATCAAACTTGGTCTGAAACAAACAGTTTTAAAGTAAATTTAGGATCTAAAAAAGGCATGGTACAATATATTATGTAACTACTCCTGCCATGACAGGGCCACATCTCACAGTATGCTATTGATAGCATTATAAACAAATGTTTCTTCTTCAATGAAAATTTATAATAAAAATTATAAATTTAGTTTGGTGGGAGGATACAAGACATTGGTGGGAGGGTACAAGACTTAGATGGGAGGGTACAAGAAATTGGTGGAGGGTGCAAGACATTGGTGGGAGGGACCAAGACATTGGTGGGAGGGACCAAGACATTGGTGGGAGGGTGCAAGACATTGGTGGGAGGGATCAAGACATTCGTGGGAGGGTACAAGACATTGGTGGGAGGGACCAAGACATTGGTAGGAGTGTCCAAGATATTGGTGGGAGGGTACAAGACATTGGTGGGAGGGTAAAAGACATTGGTGGGAGGGACCAAGACATTGGTGGGAGGTTACAAGACATTGTGGGAGGGTACAAGACATTGGTGGGAGGGTAAAAGACATTTACCTTGGTTACGGAGTCATTGACATTCATTGCAGGCACAGTGAGTTTCCCTGACTTTGACAGCTGATACAGACGGTGGACACCGGTCACACTTTCCTCAACGATGCCCTTGACCATATTAAACATAGCCGGGTACTTCTTAAGTAGCCAGTGAGTGGCATCCCCTCCATCGTCTAATATCTGTGAGACAAATGTGAGACTATAAAGCACAAAGATTCAACTTGTTTGAGACATAGAACTCAGGAACATGTGGTTACCAAGCAGATAACTCTATTGACCCACAGTGTGTGACACAAGACTTTTTATTGTCCAGGATGGCACCAGATGTCTGGCAGATGTCTATCTTTGTTTGCCTGTCACGGATAGCCAGATAAGGGGGATCTGATCCATTGAGAGTCGGGGACTCTTGCCGTAACTATGTCAATAAGAGATGACACAATTACAGACCACTTGATGGATGAATAACTTGCTCTATGTCATTCTTCTACACTGACCCACTACCAGTATCTCCTAATTCTCACTTATCCATTACATCTACAGCTTGCCAGTTCTTCTTATATAATCATGTAATAAAATTGCTAAATTGAACCCCAAAAATCTGAGACAACAACTTTTTATGAATGGCATCTACTGACCAAATATGGTTGCTACTGGCCATAACTGGCTGTCACTTACCCTAAATGTCACTCACTCACCATATTTAGCTGTCACTCACTCACCATATTTTGCTGTCACTCACTCACCATATTTTGCTGTCACTCACTCACCATATTTAGCTGTCACTCACTTACCATATTTAGCTGTCACTCACTCACCATATTTTGCTGTCACTCACTCACCATATTTAGCTGTCACTCACCATATTTAGCTGTCACTCACTCACCATATTTTGCTGTCACTCACTTACCATATTTTGCTGTCACTCACTTACCATATTTTGCTGTCACTCACTCACCATATTTAGCTGTCACTCACTCACCATATTTAGCTGTCACTCACTTACCATATTTTGCTGTCACTCACTCACCATATTTGGCTGCCAGCCCTCTGCATTGATACATTTGTCTATACACCACCAGAAGTCCTCCTCTGTCTCCCCCTTCCAGGCATAGATTGGGTAGCCAGACTCGGCCAGGGCAGCAGCCACTTCATTCTGTGGATGACAATAACATAAGAATATCAAGGTGCTATACAATCACAGGGTGCTAAACAATCACAGGGTGCTAAACAATCACAGGGTGCTATGCTATGATATGATGCTATGCTATCACAGGGTGCTATAGAATCACATGGTGCTATACTATATGATGCTAAACGATCCCATAGTGCTATACTATTACATGATGCTATTCTGGAAAACATCCATTCAGAGTAAACAGGGTGTCAAAAACAGGGGTCAAGTCATGGGAAAAAAGGGTGGGAACTCACCCCAGATTTCTCCCCTCCCCGCAAAAAGAACAGGAACCCTGTTCCCATCCATTCCTGCAGGACTTGAACCCTGGTCCTATCACATTGATTACCAATCACTGTGTGTGTAATTAAGGAGTGAAAACCAACATTTTAATAGTTGTGGAATTGGAGACATGAAGATCTAGTTGATTTTACACATGTTGCTGTTGCTGTTCTACTTGGTGGCTATGGTTTGGGGGGGGGGGGTTATGTGTTTCCCTCAAACTCTTTGAAGGCTGAACTAGTTCAATCAAGGGTTCACAAACTCTTTGAAGAGCAGGTCTTGAACCCTGGTCCGATCACATTGATTACCAATTACTGTGTGTGTAATTAAGGAGTGAAAATCAACATTTTAATAGTTGTGGAATTGGAGACATGAAGATCTAGTTGATTTTACACATGTTGCTGTTGCTGTTCTACTTGGTGGCTATGGTTTGGGGGGGGGGGGATATGTGTTTCCCTCAAACTCTTTGAAGGCTGAACTAGTTCAATCAAGGGTTCACAAACTCTTTGAAGGCTGAACCAGTTCAATCAAGGGTTCACAAACTCTTTGAAGGCTGAACCAGTTCAATCAAGGGTTCACAAACTCTTTGAAGGCTGAACCAATTCAATCAAGGGTTCACAAACTCTTTGAAGGCTGGGCTGAACCAGTTGAATATTGTCATACAACCATGCTTAGAATTCCTTATTTTGACTTTGTAATCTATTACATATAAATGAATTGATTTCGCTGGTTACATTCTGTGTACCAGTTAGCATAACAAAATATCCCACTCCATGAATGAGAAGGAGCAGGGCTGGTGTGGATGACACCATGTATTGATTGCATGTGTTAACTGGGTCAGATGGGCAGGTCTGAGTCAAACAGTTTCAATCAGTTTGGTGTGTTACCCAGAACATTTTTCTTTTATACCACCACTGACATACACAACCTATGTACTTTTGGAATACACCCCCATGTGTATGTTGAATACACCATCAATGTGTATGCGGAATACACCACCCATGTGTATGTGGAATGCACACCCATGTGTATGTGGAATGCACACCCATGTGTATGTTGAATACACCACCCATGTGTATGTGGAATGCACACCCATGTGTATGTGGAATGCACACCCATGTGTATGTTGAATACACCACCCATGTGTATGTTGAATACACCATCAATGTGTATGTGGAATACACCAACAAGTTGTATGTGGAATGCACACCCATGTGTATGTGGAATGCACACCCATGTGTATGTGGAATGCACACCCATGTGTATGTTGAATACACCACCCATGTGTATGTGGAATGCACACCCATGTGTATGTTGAATACACCACCCATGTGTATGTTGAATACACCACCCATGTGTATGTTGAATACACCACCCATGTGTATGTGGAATGCACACCCATGTGTATGTTGAATACACCACCCATGTGTATGTTGAATACACCACCCATGTGTATGTTGAATACACCACAAATGTGTATGTTGAATACACCACCCATGTGTATCTTGAATACACCACAAATGTGTATGTGGAATGCACACCCATGTGTATGTTGATTACACAACTAAGGTGTATGTGCGATGCATCACCTATGAGTGTGTGGCATGGTACATTTAGTGAATTCCACTCCTACGAAAGAGCCCAAAGCTGTGGTAAGCAGGGTTTCTAAACCTGGCAGCCAGCCGGTAACTGTTCAGAATGTTGGGCGACTTTTCAGAATGTAGAAATTGCCGAGTTGACCCAAGGCCATCAGACCAGCTCGCCTCCCCAAACAGAAAGTTAATGAACTTGCATAAAGGTCCTTTCGTGAAAAGACTTTGCCTCAGGCTATGAACTCTTCAGACAGGGCGCCCACAAGGTTCAATAAGGCGAATGTCATAGGAGATGAGGACCCCCCCCCACCGTTACTTTCTCATAGAGTCCCCTATTCTCGTCATATACACCTCTTGTACATTGTTGTCTCGCTCAGACATTGTCTTACCACAACAGATAGTACATTGTTGTCACCCTCAGACATTGTCTTACCACATCTGATAACAGAAGACTCACAAGTGATGGAGTCACAAACTAAAAATTGACTTTGCCTGTCTATCATCTTTAGATTGAATTTATATTCAAAGTTAGGTTTAGGAAAAGTCCAAACAGTAGATAGTAACTAGAGTAGGTAAAGAGCACATTGGGACATTTACAACAATCAAAACAACAGAATATTGTCATCTGTTGATCTCCCCTCAAGAGCACATTGGGACATTGACAACAATCAAAACAACAGAATATTGTCACCTGTTGATCTCCCCTCAAGAGCACATTGGGACATTGACAACAATCAAAACAACAGAATATTGTCACCTGTTGATCTCCCCTCAAGAGCACATTGGGACATTGACAACAATCAAAACAACAGAATATTGTCATCTGTAGATCTCCCCTCAAGAGCACATTGGGACATTGACAACAATCAAAACAACAGAATATTGTCACCTGTTGATCTCCCCTCAAGAGCACATTGGGACATTGACAACAATCAAAACAACAGAATATTGTCACCTGTTGATCTCCCCTCAAGAGCACATTGGGACATTGACAACAATCAAAACAACACAATATTGTCACCTGTAGATCTCCCCTGTATACACTGAATATCGACCCCACCCCATCTCCCCTTTTTTTTCTTTATACTGATTTTGTAAAAAAAAATTGTGTGTTTGTGTGTGTGTATTTGTGTGTGTGGAGGGGGGAGGTGTGAACTTGACCATTATCAGTACATGATAAGATAGAGTAAACATGTATGGTTGCTAAATGCTATCATTGTACAAAGCTTCATCTCTTTCACACAATCATGTTTCACTCATAACTGACTCTGGTCATAACCAACAATTTAAGATTAAAAAAAAAAAAAAAAAAAAAAAAAAAAAAATTTTTTTTTAACAAGATTAAAAAAAACAAAGGAAGACACACAAATTGTGACCTCAATGTTCATAGTGACCTCAATGTTCATTGTGACCTCAATGTTCATTGTGACCTCAATGTTCATTGTGACCTCAATGTTCATTGTGACCTCAATGTTCATTGTGACCTCAATGTTCATCAGACCATACCTGAGTAGAGTAAATGTTGCATGCAGACCATCTGATGGAAGCCCCTAGAGCAGCAAGTGTTTCAACTAGGACCTGAACAAATTGGGGGAAAAAACAACAAAATTTAACCTCAGCAAGGGAACATCTTTATAGTTAGATTATCTTTTAATTTAGATTATCTTTATATTTAACTCATATTTATATTTTAGATCATCTTTATATTTAGATGTTTGGCAACTTGCATTGATAGAAACAAAAACAATATATAACATACACTGTCAAATTGTTAAAACCTGTGAAAATAACTTTTAAAAACTTTTACAGAAAACAAAATAAATAATTATATATAATATCTATCTATATACATCTATATATATCTATATATATCTTATATATCTATATATATATATATATATATCTTATATATATATATAAATATAAATAAACACTATATAAGTACATTTTAGTTAAGTCTGGTACATGTCAAAAGGCTCTCTAACCTCTCGAATATTTTGTCACTTTACTTGTGTGAAGCAATTACAGTGTTCAACCTTGTCAAGAAAAGTGTTCATTGTTCCTGATAATCCAGGAGCTTTAAATTAGCAACTAGCCTCTTTGTAAAGTAGCAACTAGCCTCTATGTATAGTAGCAACTAGACTCTTGGTAAAGTAGCAACTAGACTCTATGTATGGCTACAGTAGTAAAATGAGGAACATTTAGCTTTAAGAAGGGGAGGGGCTATTGTCACTATTTATCAAGCGTTGACATGTGTTTATTGTGTTCTAAAACAGATTCAAAATGTTATACACATTTCCAGTATATTTCTATCTTATATTTGACACATCGATTTACCACTTGCCTACAACAACAACAAAAAAGACTACTGGCTCCCTTTACACCCAACACCAAGATTCTTAATGATATAGTACCTCAATGGCAACCACCCTTTCCCCAACCACACACACAAACTTGGTTTGTATGATTCCTCAGGTGCCCTGCACCATTTAGCTATCGGGTTTTTTTGCTGGCCCTGGTGCCAATCTATTGCCCTCTTAGACCCAACTATTCGTATTGGCCAGGTAAGTCAAGAGAATTTGTCCTGGTGCCAATCTATTGCCCTCTTAGACCCAACTATTCGTATTGGCCAGGTAAGCCTAGAGAATTTGCCCTGGTGCCAATCTATTGCCCTCTTAGACCCCAACTATTCCTATTGGCCAGGTAAGTCTAGAGAATTTGCCCTTGGTGCCAATCTATTGCCCTCTTAGACCCAACTATTCGTATTGGCCAGGTAAGTCTAGAGAATTCGCCCTTGGTGCCAATCTATTGCCCTCTTAGACCCAACTATTCCTATTGGCCAGGTAAGTCTAGAGAATTTGCCCTTGGTGCCAATCTATTGCCCTCTTAGACCCGACTATTCCTATTGGCCAGGTAAGCCTAGAAAGCTCCCTGAGAATGTTGCTATTTTATTTTGGCACACAGGGAGACTGCTGGTGTTTTTGTGGGCAACTCTCCAAATAATTCAATGATTTTTTCTTTCCTTTCTTATCTGGCTTCTCACACTGAACACACCAGACGAGTATCAGAATGAAGCTGCAATAAAGCGGCTGGAAACATAAGTCTGACAAATAAAAGTTTTGGAAGGAGGATAGGGTCAAGCTAACAAATTTGATAAATGACCTTTATATAAGTTACCAAGTTTTCTTATCGGCTAAGTTATTTGTGTGACACTCAAGAAGTACTTGATGATTTTCATGGTGACCAAATTATTGTTTTGTTCAGTGTGTTCACCCTTGTCTGGATGCTGTGCATAACTTGACTGGGGTTCAGTGGCTTTCTAAAGGACAGGGGTTGGGGATAGTTGAGCTAGCTTTGACCACAGTACTTTGTAAGAAACAGCAAGATAAGCTTTGTAAAAACAATAACGTGGCCAGTCAGTGTTCAGTAAACATAACATGCTCCACTCACAGCTGGCTGTTTATAAAACAAACCACATGGCCAATAACAGCTGTTTGTAGAACAATAACATTTTCTACTTACTGCTGTTTGTGCAGTGATGTGTGTGCAGCCAATAATTTTGGCTCCCTGTAGTGGCTTGTCAGCCTCAGCTCTCCTCCTCAATGCCATTAACCCAGGCATCTCTGTGGACATTCATACAGCATTACAGTACCAGAAGCATGAGATCATCAATATGTTTATACCCAATCATTCAGTGGGACAGCATTGCACTACTAAACTCCATGAGAGAACTTATGACCAATCACACATTCATATGACATTACAGTGCCAGAAACATGAGACAACATATGTTCATTGTTATATACTTATATGTCAACTATGTGAACAAGTCTTTAGTTCCTAAATTTGACATTTTAATGCTTATGTGCTGACCAAAACGTTAACAATTTCGGTAAAGCATATGAAAAGTTTATCTGTAGAAAATAAGGTGCAGTCCAAAGACATAATAAAATAATAATTGACAAAAGAATAAAGATGATAAATGGTTGAATTTTAACAATAAAGCTATAAAAGTATACAATTCATTTTCTAGAAATACAGGGACCTTATTATTATTATTACAGTGGTCAAATATAGCGCCGTACCTCGGCCTAGGGCTGGGCTCTCAGTGTGCAAGGGACATCTCTCTTCATTGCTTGGGATAAGATTTGTTGGTCTAGTACTGACATGCCCCCCAAGGAGGTTGCCATGAAACAAACTATGGCTCTGGATCTTTGGACATTATCCTTTACTCAGACCCACAGTAAGCCATATTGTGGTGTGCCTATATTATCCTTGACTCAAACTACAGTAACCCATATTGTGGTGTGCCTACATGGACATTATCCTTGACTCAAACTACAGTAACCCATGTTGTGGTGTGCCTATATGGACATTATCCTTGACTCAAACTACAGTAACCCATGTTGTGGTGTGCCTACATGGACATTATCCTTGACTCAAACTACAGTAACCCATGTTGTGGTGTGCCTATATGGACATTATCCTTGACTTAAACTACAGTAACCCATGTTGTGGTGTGCCTATGCTCTGTTGCCCCACAGTACATTTCTGCATCATTACCTGGCAACAGCTTTCCAATAATTCATTCGGCCAGACACACTGTCAATGCCCTGACATGCTTGTAATCAACACAACTCATAAAACAAAACAATAACATTTAAAATGCCCCCCTCCCCCCCCCCCACCCCACCCTCTTAACGTTCAGCCTCTCACCTTGTTCAGCTATCTCAATCTCCCTCCTGCCGAATGCACTATCAATGCCCTGACATGCTTGGTATCCACACAACTCATAAAACAAAACAATAACATTTAAAATGCCCCCCTCCCCCCCCCCCACCCCACCCTCTTAACGTTCAGCCTCTCACCTTGTTCAGCTATCTCAATCTCCCTCCTGCCGAATGCACTATGTTCAATGTTCTTGACGCAGAAGTCAGAGAAGCCTTTGGAACTCTTCTGTAGGTGGTCAAAATAAATATTTTATTTGATCCCAGTGAGATATTATGGGAGTGATGAGGTAGCATGTTAGGGTAATGATGGATGGAATGAGGGAGCATGTTATGTTAATGATGGATGGAATGAGGGAACATGTTGGGCTAATGATGGATGGAATGAGGGAACATGTTGGGCTAATGATGGATGGAATGAGGGAGCATGTTGGGGTAATGATGGATGGAATGAAGGAGCATGTTGGGGTAATTTTGGATGGAGTGAGGGAACATGTTAGGGTAATGATGGATGGAATGAGGGAGCATGTTATGTTAATGATGGATGGAATGAGGGAGCATGTTGGGGTGATGATGGATGGAATGAGGGAGCATGTTGGGGTAAGGATGGATGGAATGAGGGAGCATGTTGGGGTAATGATTGGATGGAATGAGGAGCATGTTGGGGTAATGATGGATGGACTGAGGGAACATGTTGGGGTAATGATAGATGGAATGAGGGAGCATGTTGGGGTAATGATGGATGGAATGAGGGAACACGTTGCGGTAATGATAGATGGAATGAGGGAGCATGTTGGGGTAATGATGGATGGAATGAGGAGCATGTTGGGGTAATGATGGATGGACTGAGGGAACATGTTGGGGTAATGATAGATGGAATGAGGAGCATGTTGGGGTAATGATGGATGGACTGAGGGAACATGGTGGGGTAATGATAGATTAGAATGAGGGAGCATGTTGGGGTAATGATGGATGGAATGAGGGAGCATGTTGGGGTAATGATGGGTTTACAGTAAATTTATGATGGATGGACGGCAGTGTTATTGAGTTATGATGGATAATTGGAAGCACAGTTCTGTAATGGAGTTGTGATGGATGCACAGTTCTGTAATGGTGACAGGATGTATGTACAGTTCTGCCATTGTGTAAGAATGGATGTACAGATATGTAACTCTGGGCTCTATTGATTTTATTTGTATTTCTTATTGCATAAAGGTGGAGACAGTTCCCAGAATACAACTTCCATTAGATCTGGTCAGCCTAAAATCTATTCAGCAAATTAGCACAATGTTAACATTCCTAATACTGTTACATAAACTTTACAGTCCTGGAATTTTTTTATGTGGTTGAAGCTATAAGCATATATTAATTAATTAATTAGTGCGCACCTGCCTAAATATTTAACACCATTATGGTCTGTATGTTTTATATGCAGATTAAAGAAATGCATTCAGAATTATGGTCTGTATGTTGTATTTTATGCAATAAGTGCAATCAAAATTACGGTCCATGCATTGTTTTATATGCAGATGAAATAAATGCAGTCAGAATTACGGTCTGTATGTTTTATATGCAGATAAAATAAATGCAGTCAGAATTATGGTCTGTATGTTGTATTTTATGCAATAAGTGCAATCAAAATTACGGTCCATGCATTGTTTTATATGCAGATGAAATAAATGCAGTCAGAATTGTATTTTTTCTAAAGCAATGAAATATTTGCCACTATAACAGTCAGCTTATGCTTGCAAGAAGACAAAAAAGAATCTGTCCATAGTTAATTTAGCAACACACTTTAAAGTGTGAACAAAATATATTCACCTGAAAAAAAAAGCATGACATCAAGCGGGAAATGTTTTGATAAACACATGACAATAGTTGAATAATGATGTGAACATGACACAGGAAACTGGTGGTGGAATGGATGCTTCCAGGAAATGTTTAGAGAAAATGTTCTGTAACACTATTATAAATGAAAGCACATCAGTGTAGAAATTCAGCATCTGTTTTTACTGACCTGGGGTTTTTCTCTTGGACTGATCTCATCTTCTTCAGATGAGCTGCCAGTGTATGATGCTAAAAGAAGAGAAAAAATTAAAAGTTTTCAAAAGATGTTTAACAAAGTTAGAAATGGAGGACTTAAAAATGAAGAATGTGAAAAGGAAATAATACACTCCATATTACTTGACAACGACATGAAGTTTTTGGCATCAAACCAGGAATGTTTGGTTCATTACCATAGAAACTAAAGTGCATCCCATCATAATCAATAATGTTGAGTGTTTAATTAAGAAAACTTGTATTGCATTAAAGCATTACATTTTTTAATAACACTTGGCCTTAAATATCAAATATAATTATAATTAACAGACCCGACATACTTCATTTTCTATTATAAGACCTGTTTCAATTGAAAGGCCTGCTAAAGGACAAACATCTTTAAAATTATAAGGACTAAGAACATTTGGTTCATGTCTTTGGCAGTGGTCTCACTTAAATCCCCACCCCCACCAACCCTCTTTCGACCCACCAACCATCTTCCGACCCATCCATCCATCAACCATCTTTCGACCCATCCACCCACCAACCACCTTTTGACCCACCCACCCACCAACCATCTTTCAACCCATCCACCCACCAACCATCTTTTGACCCACCCACCCACCAACCATCTTTCAACCCACCCACCCACCAACCATCTTTCGACCCATTCTTGTTGCTTCAGCCTTAAGAAACTTACAGAGCGAGTCAGCCGTACCAGTACTTATGGTACTGGACCTTCTGTCCAAGCTGTGCAGTTGGGAGGTCAGCTTTTTATCCAACTGGACACTGTGGCGTTTACGACCCGCCCGAGCCCTGTAGGCTTCCTCCCCACTTTCGTCTAGTGATGAGTTCATCTTCTCTGAGTCGTGAAATTTCTCAAAGTTTTCACTTGAACTAGGCTTAAAACTTAAAAGTTTTTTGGCCAGCATTTTCCACCGGTTTGGCTAGGCTTTTAGACTTTACTTCAAATCTGGCAACAACACAGGGCTGTTAGGAGCAATTTCATATAGAAGAAACTAACATAACACAGACCACATAACTCACACCACCAAGAGGGATATAAAATGGTTGCTTGTTTTAGCTTCTACACACTGCAATTGTAACAAAAGCAACCGTCACTGGCAATATGATAATATGATTGTTATTACTTCAACAACTTGAGATCGGAAACAAATAAATTATTCATGGCCAATAAAATAGATCCAAGAAGACAATCTCAGCCATACACATGAACCTAATTAAGAAATAAAACTATTTTGTTAACAACATTTCAAGTTGGTGGCTACATCATGTGAAATGGAAATCTTGGAGAATCACCAGTCAGCAGCTCTTAGGGAAAACAAGGCATTAATTTCAGATATTTTACACTTGCCAAGTGTTTAGTCTGGATATATAAAGAGAATTCAGTTGGCACTAGTTCAAGCTTTCTATATAGCCTGAACCACAAGATTCAAGACTGAGGCAATCAGGAACACAGTATCAATATAGACACTACACAACATATCTATTCAAAGAGCCCAGGAGCTCTAGTATGATATACATTCAACTCAATCTATATCTTGACTTAGCCTGAAAATCTGAATCTATAGCTTGGTGTAACTTTGAAATCTGTCAACACACACAGCACCAGCTACTGGTAACAACTTGTTTAGTTTCATTCTTACTTGATCATTTCAGTGCTTCATTAAATGCTGTCAGCAAAACAAGAATCTTCCTTCAAAATTCATTCATTTTAACAATTTTAAATACTTGACACAATTATAGCTGCAAGTCAGGTCTTCATACAAAGCATTAATATATTGAATACAATAGAGCTAATAAAGATTTCAAGCCTATTGTATTCCCTAATTGGATTTTTAAAACACAAGAACTATAAATAGCATCCAATCAAATACACACAAGTTTAATGCAAGTGCCCTGGAAGACAATATCCATCAAAGTATGAAACACTTGGATAAGAAACAGTCCAACCAACCTGTGGGTGTGACACACTAAGGGCCTTATAAAATAACAGAACTTTAGCCCAAATCAACCAAAGCAAAACACAAACTAATGAATAGAGGAAATGGGGTTCACACCACCATTCACACACTGTTTTGTTGAATAGGCTCTGGGCAAGACTGAATCCTACAATAGCTGAAAGGGTTCATATCATCTTCATTAGGATATACATGGATACATACATGACTTAGGGACAGAGTCTTACAATAGCTGAATAGGGCAGTGGGAGGGTTAATACCATCTTCAGTGAGATATATAAACGCATGGCTTCCTTAATATCTCCTAAGGGATAGGGGTGATGTGGGGGCACTCAAAACCATGCCCTGTGTCAGTGGTGTCCCCTAGCTGCTGCAATGGTTCAAGTTATTAGGCTGAACTTGTTGATGGCAGACAAAGGCCCCTGTGGTAGCACAGCTATCTGCCATATCTTAGGTGAAGGGGCCGTGTTAGATAACCCACACACTAGGGATGACAAGATCTGACATGTTTGTTCAGCTAGTTGAAATATTTCAATTAGTCCAGAATGATACATGGCAGCAGTAACAAAAATTAAAGAAATGGTCAGTCCCAGCCAGCTCAGCTCTTCAACAGTCGCACACACCACTAGAAGTTTAAAATCTCAAGATTTTTACAGGATTGAAAACTCTAATGGAAGCACAACAACAAACTATGTACTGTACTCTTAACAAAGCCATCTTCATAAATTAAGTCATGCCAATTAAATTAATGGGGGAAAACACCTGGATGGATACTGGGGAGAGGGGAGCATACTCTCTGGGGATAGCTTTTCTGTCAAGTCTAATCATTTTGAGATCAACATTACCTGATCACTTGCACTCTGAAGTCAGCATACCCCACTGGTTGTAACCCAAGTACCCTATATATTATATCTGTTGCAACCCTATAAAGTACATCACACTCTGGAGAGGGGTTTAGAAAAGTGTGATAGTTTGTGACAGGGTGGGGGGGGGGGGGGAGAGAGGGGGGGGGGGGGGGGGTGGATATGTGATGTCACACACATATTTATTTTTGATCATGCATGTAAAAGCTGAAATGGACAGTGATGTTTAACTTTCTGTTGTGCTGGAGGCATTCTGAAAGAAGATTTCCTTATGTAGTGTCTAATATTTATAGTGAAGTTCAGATTGATTTTTTTTTTAAATTTTAAGTGTGACATAATTAAGAAAAGTGTGTGTGTGTGTGGGGGGGGGGTGTTATCCGATATATATGGGATAGTGTACAGGAGGGGGGTAAATTAGCGAGAATGACCCCACATTCGCCAACAAACTATCCTGTTAAATAAAGATAAACAAACACATAATCCTCTATTTCCACTACAACCCATTCATTATTGAAGTAAGCAAATCAGTGGAAACCTATATTAACATTTGATAGTGTCCGAGACAAAGGGGAACCTATCCGACCCTAACAAGTTGAACTTGCAACTAACCCAGCGAACAAAAGGACCTTTCTTACTGTGGGGGAGGGGGGGGGGGTCAAATGTGACATTTAACCAAAGTATCAGTCTACCATGTCAGCTAACTCTTGGTGGCCAAAAAAACATGGGAAACACAAGAAGTGATGAGAGAAACCAGGTCTGCTTCACAAAATACACTCTAGTTACCAATACACAAGAAGTGATGAGAGAAACCAGGTCTGCTTGACAAAATACACTCTAGTTACCAATACACAAGAAGTGATGAGAGAAACCAGGTCTGCTTGACAAAATACACTCTAGTTACCAATCCTCAAAATATGAACATGACTCTGCCACTTGCCAATGGTTCTCACGCCCGAAATATAAGATGCACACAGTGTTAACGCTAGCTCAAGGAGACAAGGGATCTTTATTCATAACAAATAGTGCCACCAGTAAAAAGTAATTGATAGTAGATGGCTTGCACCTGGGTGAACCACCTGATTCACACGGATTCACCACCTGGTTCACACCTGGTTGGTTGAAGAGCATACTTCCATTCATACACACCCACAAGGCATGAGCACTGACCAAGACATTCTTCCTATAAAATAACATCTGAAAATCTCAACGAAAAGTATCTGATATGTCTATAGTCACCTTGAGCCAATGATCCCCTTCTCTGCCTTGGGATAACAGCTAAAAAATTCATCTTTATTTTATTCCCACATGACTTAAGTTCTAGGTTGAGCCAAGGCTGAGAAGTAGGTGAGGAGTGCGGCACTTCTATAAATAGACACGATGCTCACATTTGATTTGTTCACTAGTATGCCAGAAGCGAGAACGTCATGGTTTGTAGGGATCATCTATAGGTGAAATTTATGTCGCCACAAATTTGTGTGGGCCGACATGTTTGAAATGAAGAACCTGCATCTCACTCAAGCAATGCTTGAAAAAATAGGAAGTACTTAGGGAGCTCTTGAGGGCACTCGTGTTAACAACAAGACATGATCGCTTTATCCCAGATAGACACGCAGGAGCTCAGGCTTATTTCTTATTCTTTCGCAACTGTGAGGATAAGTCATCCTGGGGAAACTGGGTGAGAGGATGAATGGAGTCCAGATTTATAAGAGGATAAGTCATGATAAGTGTCAGCCGGGAGGGACAATGAACAACCCCCTCTCCACAACACACACACACAAATAATCAATAGATCTGGTGATTCATTTCACATCTATAGTGGCATCAGGACAGTGGGTGGGAGCAATAAGGGAGGTGTGTGTGTGTGTTTTTTTTTTTACACTCTATGCATACATTTGCCAGGCAGAATAGAGAGGTAGGAGAATGGTGGCAGCCATTTTTGAAGGGAGGGTTAAAAGTAAAGAGATGGTTGAAAGGGATGGAAGATTGGAAGGGAGGATTGGAAAGGAAGATTGGAAGCAAGGTTTGCAAGGGGAATTTGAAGGGAGGATTAGCAGGGAAGATTTGAAGCAAGGATTGGAAGGGAAGATTGGAAGGGAAGATTGGAAGCAAAGATTGGCAGGGATTATTTGAAGGGAGGAATGGTAGGGGGTGTTTGAAAGGAGGATCGGAAGAAATGATTGAAGGGGGGAGTATATAAGATTGAACAGTTTGTAGGAAGGGTATTGCTACGAGACATTAAATAGCTTAAGATTTAGATACAGGATGAACGATGATACAGTGAAGTAATTTATGAAATCCAATAGGTATGTGGCTTTTTATAAAAGGTAACTAATCTTTCAAAACAGGGATTTTCAAATTGATTTAGCCAGTACAGTTCTGAAATGTAAATGTGCATACTAATTACCTTAACTACTAAGACATTTTAAAAAAAATCTTGGAAAAATACATTTTAATTAATGTCAGAAGTTGTAGAAATGAACATTTTCCTAATGTAAATTTACTCATGGACTATGTATTTTTATTTATACTTTGGACAACCAGTGATCAAGGAAGTTTGGAATAGGAAGAATACGCCCCATTACTTTGCTTTCCCTATTCCTTTAAACATGTAGAATGAAATTCTTTTTTAAAAAAACTTTTAAAAAATGTTTTAAAAAAAATTAAAAATCCACCCCAAAAACGGACCACTGCTGTTGAAAGCCCCACCAGCAGGCCAAACTGGCCACCACAGGCCAAACTGGCCACCACAGACCAAACTGGCCACCACAGACCAAATTGGCCACCACAGACCAAACTGGCCATCACAGACCAAACTGGCCACCACCAAACTGGCCACCACAGACCAAACTGGCTGCCACAGACCAAACTGGTCACCATGACCAAACTGGCCACCACAGACCAAACTGGCCACCACAGACCAAACTGGCCAGGGTTGGCAATGTTCCTGCTAACAGACCAGGTAATATGAAGATCGGCCTGTTGTTCCAGCCCAGGACTGCAAGGTAAAGGATGCTTGTACCTGGTTTGAAGGGGGATGGGATCACAACTGAAGGTTACACGTGCTGGATATAAATAGGGACGCCAGAGAAACTCTTGAATGCTGTACAGGTGGGTCAAAGGAAGAGAGTGGGGATAGATGGGAGACTGGAGGGCAATAGGGGATTGGGGTGGAAGGGGAGTGGCAAAGAAGAGATAATGGGGTTAGAACGGGAATGAGGATTGAAAGGGGATTGGGAAAAAGGGGAGTAGAGGCAGAAGGGGGGAGTAGAGGCAGAAAGGGGGAGGAGAGGATTTGGGGGTAGAAGGGGCGTGGGGGAGAAAGGTAGAAGGAAATTTGGGGGAGTGGGGGAGAAGGGTAGGGGTAGAGGGATTTAGGGTAAAAGGGGCAGTGGGGTAGAATGGGCAGTGGGGTAGAAGGGGCAGTGGGGGTAGAAGGGGCAGTGGGGTAGAAGGGGCAGTGGGGTGGAAAGGGCAGTGGGGTGGAAGCGGCAGTAGGGGAGGGGGGGTGGAAGGGGGAGTGGGGGAGAGGGGGGAGGGGGGGTAGAAGGGGCAGTGGGGGTAGAAAGGACAGTGGGGGGTAGAAAGGACGTTAACAAAATATGAATTGAGGGTAGCGGATAGACAGGTTCTGGTCATTAGGGAAAAACTGTGTCCCTCACTTGGTGTGCCTTGAAAGACATGAAATGAACGGTTTGACATGAATCTTGGGTTTATTCTTAGTTTGAGTCAAGCACTTTTACACAATGGAAGTTCTAGTCATCATAAGACACAACAAACCCCTTTGAACCCAGGTATTAGAGTGTGAACACTTTCATTTACTACAACGCTTCTGATGTCAATCTGTTGTCTTCAGGAAACGCTACACGTTGTAATGGCACTATTTAGACACTTTGGGCCATGTACTTGACTAGAATAAGTCATTACGTTCTACTACTTACCCCCCACTGACAATGTACACAACCACTGACAATGTACACAACCACTGACAATGTACACAACCACTGATAATGTACACAACCACTGACAATGTACACAACCACTGATAATGTACACAACCACTGATAATGTACACAACCACTGACAATGTACACAACGCTACAC